ATTAAAGCCAAATGAATTATAAATTGAAGTGCTCTCAAAAACTAGAAAATGCATTTACAAAGACCACAGTTGAATGCCTTTTAAAATAAGCATTTCAGCCGACAGGCCCTCACTTTGATTACGGTAAACACCGAAATCGCGCAAACACGAATCCACATTTAGCGCCAATGCAAATTCGAATATAAACACAAAGCCAATTTGTTGACTTTGCTTATTTGCCAGCGTCTTTTTGTGTCAGCTATAAGGCGAAATTTACTTATACGTCTGGGTATTTCTATATGCCTTATAAAGGCGATAAATACAGTTCTTTATACCTCATTGCATTCCATTTGAATATGTGAGGAAAAATTAATCTGAATAGCATTTGCCAATCTGAGGCAATTTACTATATATGTGCTGTAGCTTTGTATTTCAATATTATTATTTGTATATTTCTAAGCATTTTGTGGCGAAACGTTGTAGCAGGAATAGGAACATCGAATAGCGCAAAATAGAGGAGCGATAAGTGCAGATAGCAGGAAAAGGGAGATATCAAATAAACAAATATGAAGAAAGAGATTATTATGAAAGAAACAGATAATATTAAAAACCATGAGAAAATAAATATATGGATGACAAAATGAAGATAAAATTGTCACATATTTCCACATTATAATCAGTTATAACTGAACCCAATATCTCCATTATATAGCTGTATACAGGGTATAGCTACAACTAACAATTATGGTTATAAATGTTGCTTTAATTTATAAGATTTGAACGCAACTGTTAATTAGCGCCAAAGCGTGCGCCCAAAGCGCCCCAATAAGGCAACCGCAACGACTGTGAAGCCAGCGTCGGCGACAATCCAAATGGAACCTAGCAATAATAATGAGCACAATTTTACTCGGTACACCGCAAACTCAATACTCTTTCAACTGACTTCACATAAGTTATCTCTCGATTGTTGTATAAGTTTCGATCATATCTAATCTAGCATTTAGTGTCTAAAAAATAAACAAAACATAGTTAATTATTAACGTTATTAAAGGCTTCTACTTGTGTGCCTGTCCCATTGCGTGACAAAAGTGTCATGCTCTATACAAGGGTATCAAGAGTCAAATGAAGCGTAAACAAAAACAACAACGATAACAGCAACGGAACAACGGCAAACAAACCCAAAGTTGCATGAATGAAATGCTCTGTGTGTGAGTGTGTGTGTGTGTGGATGTCATGACGTGCCACGCCCCATTCCGGGCTGACCGACGGCGCCACTCAAATGTTTGCCGGAGTTTTATGAGCTGTGCCATGTGCACAGCTGCCGGATAACCAGTTGTTGTTGTTGTTGTCGCTTCTATTGTTGCCGTTGCTAAGCATAAGAGACGACACTTTGGCTAATTGCTTGCGGCAACAGCACTTGTCCAAACTCCCGGTCCGGCTAAAAGCGATTAACTGCACATTAGATAGCCCTCAACGTGGACACTCGTCTCTGAGAAGTGTGGCAAATCCGAAAGTGAACAGAGTTATATAAGAAGACTGTGCGCCATAATCTTTCAAATGCATAAGTGAATCATTGAATGACGTGATAAAGTGCTGACTCCACTCAATTATTCATCACTTTTTACCTTCTTTCACTTCTTCGCCGGCATTCACTCAATTGTCTTTCTCATCAGCAGCCACTTCAGCTATGATATTTCCCTTTTAACTTTTATTCCTCTCACATTTTCTTTACGTTTTCGCACTCCATTTCGGGTATTTGCTTCCGTTCTGCGCACACTTGGCACTGAATGTAATTACGTTCGGCTTGCCGCATTTTAGTTAATTGACAAGATTTTTGAATTCACATTTTTGCCACCAGCACCTGTGTTACCCCGCAGCCACAGTGGCAGCAATTAAATGCAGCGACCACCTATTTTGGTCAGACAGCCAAATTTGCAAATTTGCAGCGCCAATCGAAACCATTAAATTTGACAGAGTGCATAAAATGGATTTTGTGGTGTCTATGGTCATGTTTGCCTGGTACAACACGCCATACTAAATAACGTGTTGTATATGTGTGTGTGCGTGTGTGTGTATGCAATGATTGTGCTAATGCTGTTTGCCAACGCATTAACATGGGTCGCCAATTGGCATTTACGTTACGCATACGCCACGTGTGTCGCGCTCTACGTGTTTGTGCATCTTTATGTTGGTGCCTGTGTGTGTGTATGCCCATTTGTGTTTCGTATGTTTGCATATACGTTTTGCCAATTATCTTGCAGTCTCAAGCGCACTAAGTGTCAGCATAAATAATTGACTGACCAAAGTGCTGGCTGACGAGTGTCGAGACTCGAGAGCCAAGAGCCGAGAACCTAGTACCGTCTGTCAATCAACCCACACACATGTATACCGACATATATATATATGTATTTATATATGTATATATTTAGGTCGGTCTTTGTGGCGCATGCAAATCTTATCGAATTGGCATAGTTGCAGCCATGCCGGAAATTGTTTGTAGTTACTTGTAATATTTAACACCAAACAAGTTTGAACACAAAACTGCATATCCATTCAGACGCCTGTCAGAAAAGGCCGTACCGGTTAGCCAAATTATTGTCAGCAGATTAATGGACCACTGCTGGCATTGAAACCAGTTCCCCAAGACTTCTCAATGAATCAAAATTGTGACACAGCACGGTGCGTATGCGTAATAATAAATATAATAAATTGATATTTAGCATAGCCAGCTACACACACACATGAATAACTAGCGAGCAGTGATAACGGCTTGTTATTGATAAGGTTAGCTTGTAATAAGTTCATTGGCTGAGTGTAGGCAGGCCCAACTAGCTATCAATGGCCCCCAACTTAGCAACAGTAGTCGTGTCGAGCAGCACTTAGATAAAGACAAACATTGCTATGCAATTCAATTAGTTTCAGTTGATTATAATTTCAATTGATTCCAGCTCAGAACTTGAAAGCTCATCGTAAATTTTGTACAATTAAAATGAGTACTTAAACATTGTTTTGTAGTAAAGAGTTTTAAAATTATGTGATAAACAATTGCAATTACAAAAATTTTGAAAAATAAATATTTTGTTTCATATATTTCATTTGGTTTAGGTTGAATTTTAAACACCAGCTATTATTTATCTAGTTCATAGCTGCTATTATAATAACTATTTTATTGTGACTCAGTTGGCTATGCTTAGCTTACGCTATCTCTCTCTCTCCAATGGCAATGCATCATGCATCTCTCTCTCTCTGTCTCTCTGTCCCCAATGGCCGACAATAAATCATGCAACCAAGAGCAACTAAATCCCTGCTGTGTAGTAATGTTGTAAGCTTATTACTCGACAGTTACCGCAAAACGTTCGAACATAATTGCGTACTAATTGACTTTTCATTTATATATTATTTTTGAACAGCAAACAAAAAGTAAACGAGCCATTTTGCGTAATTCACTGAATGTTTTAATAAAATTAAATGAAATGCTTTTTAAGTCAATTAGCCAAATTGAAAATTTGCATTTGACACACAAAGAAAAAACGCCAGCAGCAGAGCCACGAGCAAAAAATATATAGAAACGCAGACACACGGGGCAAAATTAAACTTGCAACGCTGCAAGCCGCAAAAAGCATTTAACCCACATTGCCGTAAGGCAAAAACTTCGTTAGAAAAGCACTGGATTTGTTTTTTGCTTTGGGTTTACTTTGACTTTGGCTTTGGCTCGTGTGTAGGTTTAGCCGGGGCCTAACAAGCACCGCATGAATGCAACGCAGTGGAAAACGAGTCAAGAAGACAGCTGCTGCCAGCGAAGCTGCTTAAATTGCATTTTAATTTGCTGTACACTCGCATTAATTAGCAAAAGTCGTCCACAAACATTCCCAGCTCAACTAAGCGCACCCCACGGGCCACAAATAGCGCAAAAAAAATGAAAAATATATGCATGTAAAAAGAAAACATTTACAGAGCGACCGGTTTGTCCAATGTGTATCAAGTGACCAATTGGTGAGATGCCGGCACTGGTGGCCCAATGTGTGGCATTTGCATGGCTCCCGCGGCTGTCATTTGTTTTGAAATATATGAGCGGCATTCTTTGTCTGTTTTGAAGCCCTACAAAACGCAACAGTGGCTCAAAAACAAACGAAAAGTTGTCAGTAGGCTTACAGTTTGCAGGGAATTGCTCATCATCGATACATCATCGATAAAAAAAACTTTAAAGTTACTTGAGCTATTTTTTATGATGCGGCTTAAGGCAAGAATATATTCAAAATTAATCGTAAACATTTTCGTAGACTTGATCCAGTGTGCGCCAACCGTTTTTGCCTCTTTTAACTTTGTGTGAAATGTGTATCAAGTGTCGGACATGACCATGCCCATGCCAATGCCCAAGCCCGTGCCCAAGCATATGGCACATTTGCGACACTGTCACCACTGACACAATTTAAATTTGCAACACTTTCAAGTCGCGTGCCCCGCACCTCAGCGCGCTGGCGAGACCGAACACTGCATCCAAATGCAACACGTGCGTGGGCCACATAAATTGTCGTCAAAATATGTGCAACAATAAATTAAATAAAATACAATAAAACATAACATATGACAGTCATTGCACCTCCGTTGCCCGCTGCGTCCAATTGCTTCCTTGGCATGATGCAGATAATTTGCACAGCAAGTTGAGCCTTTGACAATGTAGCGCTGACATCATAGATGGCCGGATGGATGAATGAGGGCGTGGTCGCATTTACATTTTAATGGAGGCCGCGTAATTTATGCACATTATTGTTATTGTTGCGTGGACTCGTGTTGAGGTTGTTGTTGTTGCTGTCGCTGTTACCTTATGCCTGCTCAAGGTCATTTTCATGTTAATCATCTCCGTGAAAAAGTGTTGAACTACTCGATACTCTATGTTCAGTTTGAGTGTTATAGAAAATTATTATTCCATTAAAAACTATTTAAATTCACTTTTATTCAGTCTACAAAAGTTGATAAAACAGATAAAATGTACTTAGATAACTTGATAGATTATTTTGAAGTAGTCAAATCGTAAAGGAACAAAATCATCTACTTAATATGCACCTGGGCTGCCAACATGCATAAACTGTGCTGACTGTTAATCGATATTGGCTCTAATAGGCGCACGCGACACTCATATAGTAGCTCTCCTGCTCACCACAGTCGACACTGCTCTGCCTGATACATGGCCTGGCCAGCAGCACAGTTGAAAGCGTTGGCAAATTGCTCGTGATGCGGCCAATTGCGATTGACTCGCTCATTATGCAGGCCGTGCTCCGCATCGTTCGTGATGCTCATGTCCGTAATTTCTTGCATGTTAGCGCATAAGAATTGCACCGAGTTGATAAAGAAGAGTTGCTGCTGTGTATAATTGCCAACTGGTGGGCGGTCAATGGGTTGCACGTGATTAAAGTAGGATGCAAATGCCAGTCGCAGACCCACAATGTCCGACATGCTCTCGGAGAGAAGCAGCTGCTGGGCGTTGTGGTCGGTATAGCAGCTGGTAAAGTTGGCGAAATGCTGTATCAGCGCCATTCCGGTTAGATTGTAGTTGCCCCTGCCATCGTATACAATGTGGAATAAGTCAAAGGCATGCTGCAGCTCGTGTGCCAATATGAAGCCCAGTTGGGCATGTTGCAGCAGGTCCGAGAGACGAGCATCGTACAGCGGCAATTGCAAATAACCGTGTGGCAGCAGCACGGCATTCTGAAAGATTTTCACTGGCGAGGAGCTACGTGCTACTACAGCATCCTGCTGATAGTATTCATGAGCTGGCCATATGCCTGGCTGGTTGGTCAGCAGCTGCTGGTCGAGCCGTTGATAAAACCGGAGCACCTGCAACTTGTTGCCATAGAAATCATCGTGTTGTAGCTGCAAATCCTTGTAGTATGTCGTCAACTGAGCCATTGTCAAAGCTGGGGGCATATTGCCTATTTTCAGGCGCAGACTATGCAGTTCCTCCAGCACATAAGCCTGTTCCAATGCATTCAATTGTAAATAATTCTCGTTGAGCAACTGTTCAAACTCCTTGGTCAGCTTGAGCTGCAGTCTCTGCAGTGCCGCATCAGTTGCCACACGTCGTTCATTATAGTAGTGCTGCTCGTACAGGTAGATCATAGCCAGTGGCATGTGACCGCGCAGCTGCAACACGCAGGCTGTGGAACGCGTTTCATCCGAGCCAGTAGGCGGCAACTCCTCGTTGAACACATAGAGCAGCTTGAACATGAGATAATAACAGATAGTCTCGTTGGAGCTCTCTGCAAGTATCAGCTGCAGCTGTTCCAGATAGCTGAAACTCAGCGCTGATACCTGCAACAGCTGCACTGTGTTCGCTACATCTGCATTCAGCAATTCTGTCAAATAGTGGCGCCAATTAATTTGGGGCAGTCGTTGCTGTAACTCGGCCAATGTCCACTCGGGTAGACTGTCCGTCGATTGTTCAGCTACCTGGTGCGTAATGTTGCCGAGACGCCACTCCAGCTGCATGAGCTTGGCAGTAAGATTTTGTGCCAGTGGCTCATCCAGTCCAAAGTCTACATACAAATCTTGTATCTCCTGTTCGCCCAGCGTGAACGCATCAGCTGGCTGCGGCGCCAATAGCAAAACATAATGCGATCCATTTTCACGTCGCACATTAACATCCTGCTTGATAAAGACACCGTTTAGGCCATAGATACGCAGCTTGGCTAGCGTCGCCAGCCAATCAAATTGGGTTTCATTGCGCCACGGCTCGCTCTGGTTGCCTTTAAAAATGGGCCACTCTAGTCCCAGCTGAGGCTCCAGCAAGTGCAGCAGCTCATTAAGTGCCGGCTGCGCCAAATCACGACAGGCCACATAATACGCCCACAGCAGATCATAGATGCCACCTTGCCGGCTGTGCCTTTCTAAAGCATTAAGTAGTTGTGCGTTGTATTTGTAATCCATATAGCCAGGCATATCCAAGTAGCTTTTGGTGTCTTTATAGTTTGCACTCCAATTACCACAGGCGTAGCCATAGAAATCCTCGCAAGGGTCGACGCTGGCGTTCACATTGCGCAATACTTGTGCCAGAAAGCTGGCGTCAAACTCCAGCAATTCCAAGTGGGGTATGGGCAGCAGCCAAGTGCCTGATAGGCTCAGCATCAGTAGCAGCAGGAAATTCAATAAGCGGCGACACTCCATATCGACAGTTGCATGTCAACTACTCTTCAAACCGTTGAGGCAGCTCTGGTGTTGCGACTCAACCACTGCGTTTATCGCTCGGTTTTGCGCAACAGGCGATATTTCATTATCGCCCTCAATGCTTGGCACAAGCTTAGTTTTCATTTTATTAGCATGGAAGAGCTCTCCAGATATAGAGCAGTGAATGTTTCTTGACTCTATGCTTCTTGCTCTCTCCATTTTGCATCCTGTTGGCAATTAGTGCAAGTGGCTGGCAATGATTAGAAAGCTCTTCTTAACGCTATTACAGCCCAGTCAGCTAGCTGGCTTTTCAGAGCAACTCCACGGCTTAATCCAATCAATGTCAAAGACTATGAAGTTGACTGACGTTTGGTTCCGTTTCGGTTGCCTTCTCTGATTCAATTTGTGCTTGACAAAACCCAACTTTGCTCACAAATGGAAACTTGGCTAACTGTCGTCAAGGGAAATTCATGTAATATTAAAGGACAAAAAGGGTTTCTAGGTCTGTTCTTAACCATACCCTGTATCAAGGTGAATTTATTAATGCAATAAAAATTAATATTTATCCAAATGCTAGAAATAACTAAGTTTTCAACAAGTTAAACTTTACAATAATTTGCAAACTTAGCTAAAGTTGCTTATGTTTTTGAATACAGAGTATCAATAAGTCGACTACTACGGATAGCATCTCAACTTGAACATTTTAGTTTTACATTGCATAGAGTAAGGCTGTCAAAATAGATTGTGTGAATTATTAAAAATTTACCCTTTAGTTGTATTTTGAGCTGGTAAGGCGCTAATAGAGTAAGCCTTAGTCGTTGTTGTTGTTGTAACTGCAGTTCATGATTATAGCCTGTGGCGTGTGTTGCTCTTAAGCGTCGTTGCTCATTTGGGTGTTGTTAATATTCATTAGCAGTCACACTCACACACACACACACATTTGGTTTACCCACATAAACACCTGATGGCTTGCCATTAGCATCATCCATCACGAAAGCTGTTTTGGCTTTGATTAGCGCATCGCGATAAATGGCAAGTAAAACATGCTACATCGATGATCATCAATGAAATTTTCATTTTCATTTACATAAGTGGGTCACATCGATGGCAAGAATCGATATCTGTCCATTAATAAAAAAGTCTTGTAAATGCCAAAGAGTCGAAATGAAATATTTTCAGGCATTTTCAGGCTACTGCAGCTAATGTAAATGTCATCCCAGCTCAATTAACAAAGCAGTAAAGCCATTTAGAGCTATAAATAAATTACTTATAAAAGCACTATAGAAAATTGAATTCCAATTCAATTATAACTCAAAGCTACTCAAAATGTGTTGAACTATTTAGAATACTCAGTTAATTGCCATTGACTACGTTTTAATTATGTATTTCATTCAAATGCATTTGGCCAACGGCCAGCAAAACTAAATCAAATGCCGCCACAAATCAAAATTGTTTGCACCAAATTAAACACAAATTGAACAAAATCAAAAATAGAAGCTGTCAAATGCAATTTAAACTAAATAAAAGCAGCATTTAGCAAGCCGATTAACAATGCGCACATTTTTTATATTGCTACTAGTGTTCTTAAGTTGTGTATTAAGTTATTTAATAAAGCTTTAAAGCTGAATTTAATACTAAAAAGAGCTTTATATGTTAATATAATGTATGTATTTAAATAAATATATATATTCATATTTATATCTAAATAATCTTTCCCTAGCGAGATATAACAAAAAGTCTGTCCCGACACACTGCCAAATTAAGCAAATTAAAAGTTAAATTATCGCTTTACTATGTGATTCTCAACCCTTAATTATTTATTCAACAATTTGATATGTTGATCATTTATTTACTTTCAATTAATTATACTCTTGTATATATGTATACATGTATACATAAGATACAAGCATCTTCTACCCAAATCTCAAACTACAACTCATCGTTTCTATTTCTCTTTCAGTTATGCGTATATTGCAAAGGGCATTCTCACTGCTCACTCATTTCTTAGTCTAAATGAAAATTAAATAATTTTCGTGTGTGTGAACATATTTAGGTAAGTACATATGTATATATATATATATATGTATAGAAGAATGTATTACGAAGGTCAGTTTTCTTTTAAATTCTTAAAAATAAACAAAAGCCACACAGTCATGAGAACTGGCTCCTAATAATGATTTCCCTTGCAAAAAATTTATTGAAGCAAAATTACAAATTTTACAAACAGAAATGCTGCAATTCTTAGTAATTCAAGCCACTTCTGACATACTGAAAAATTTTACAAATTTAATTTGTATAATCAAAAATGGATTTCAAATGAAATTGAATTGCTAAAGCTGCTGTAACTCCTTAGCCACGCTAAAGGTAATTAATACTTTACAAATGAAACCTTGTGCATTGCTCGGATAATCATCATTCATCACAGACAGAGGAGGCTGACATGCTTATTTTGTCCCAACTGCTCTTTCACGCAGTGCATGTTTTCCTGATAGACAGCTTACAAATCAGTCATATATTGATTGGCTAAAGGATTTTCTTTATTGTCCCCTATGCCTGCTAATCAATAGCTTTGTATGTAATTTTCATTAGAGCCACCTATGTAAACTGTAAGCCTTGCACTTGACTGTTGCCAGCCCCTGTGCAATTCACTTAATGTCAACTTGAATCCGGTTTCATTGCGGGCCAAGGTAAATCTGGTCGACGGACGTCGGGCAAACGGAATTGTTGCAATTTAGCGACAATAAGCTGACCCGAAGCTTACGCACGCCCCATCACGCCCATTTCGTTTGCAATTTGCCATTTTGCTTTCTGTTTGCCGTGGCACGTGTCACAGCTAGAGCTAAACCAAACCCGGGCTTGGGGTGCGACGACAAACAAAGCTGTCGCTAAATCAATGCCAAAATGAGTAACATTTGTAGCTGCATACCTGGCAGCGTGCTAGAGGGGCAGCCACTGCGAGTGTAATCAGCTTCAACATAAATTAGACCCGAGGCGAAGAAGGTAGCTAGACTGAGTCATGCGAACGTGCGCTTGCATTTTCCAGGACGTAACTCAAGTGACCGGTTAAAGCGAGAAACGAGACGGTAGTGACATGCATTACTTAATTTGTATTCGCTGTCAGAATGGAACCTTTAAGCAACGTTCTTCCATACACGAGTCGGTTCCAACAAAAGTTGTCAATTCAATTAGATAACGAGAAATAGAAAGAAAAGAAAGCAAAATGGCAAACTGAGTGTCCTTTCGACAGTTGAATGCTATTCAGACGTTATGCGATGAATTAAATATTGTACTCAAGTTCCTTACAAAGTCCTCAGTGTGCTCATCAATAAATGAAGCCATGGACGACGAGTTGTTAAATGTCAGACAAACGTCAAGTTAACTTGGGAACATTGGTGCCATCTCCATTGTATGCCTTTCTGTCAGCTTGTTAATTTGATTAAATGTAAGTCAGCAAACAGATAAAAATAACTCATATATTCACTGCCAAACTACATGCCGCTGACATTTATTCAGCGAGAGTGGATCGGCCGTTATTGAAAACCTAATACATAAAAAGGATTTTATTTCATTTCTTGCATACAAATTGTTCATAGCTGACAGGAATTGAGACTCTTCGAGAAATTCCCAAGAGTTGTTTTTAAATGTAATTTGGAATATCAAAGAATTTAGGACTCTTTGTTTTATTAGTACAGTAAACTGGAGAATTTGTGAAGCGCATCTCGCTCACAGTTATTGAAAGACAAGCAAGACGGGCAGACGGGCAGAAAATATGCCAAGCCCATTGAGGAAACGGAAATGCCAAAAGGTCCATGAAGTGCGTGTTTCTGCACATGTCACAACGAAATACAGTCACGTGGGGGTGGCACGAGTGGGAGCTGAGTGGTGCACTGCGTGTGGTGGGGAGGTGGAGAGGAGAGGAGCCTTATTTGTCAAAACGATGTCAATATGCACACAACAACAACAACAATGCGACAGCGAGCACGAGCCAGTTGACAACAACCCAAGAGCAAGGGAGAAAGAAAGACATGAAAACTGAGTGACAAAGGGGGCAAGAAGAGAACAAGAAAGAAAAAGACAAGAGACAATATCGTGCGTGCGACCATTTTGACATAGATAAAACGCAGGTCGGGTCGAGAGCCGCTACCGAAGACAATGCAACTACATGAAAACAACTCTGTAGACACAATGCTCGGCTGAAAAATACCCAATTTCTATAGATCAATACAGAAGCTTAAGATCTTAACTTATAACTTACGTTTACTATACAAAAGTTAGGCTTCTATTGACGATCAAACTGCTTGTCTGGCTTTTCATAGAAGCGAACAAAATAACCATAATATCTCTATAAAATATATATTTTATCTATGAAAGAGTTGTAGTTGTGTCTGCTTCAAATGTTCTTTAGATAACATATAGAATAGATAACATACAGAATGACTAAAAATTCATAGTAAAATTAAATTGATCCCTGAGCTGATATAAAATATTTCTTTTACCAAGATAATGTCATGTCTCCAACATATTTTATGATATTAATTTGTTTTTAAGCTCTTGCTAAAATTAGCATTTTACCAAATACCTGTTGGTAAAACGACTGCTAACTGAATATAACTCAAACTATTTATGGCTGAAATATTTTCAAAGCGCGTAGGTAGATGAGACAAGGCAGATGCTATTAAGGCCTTTGAATGTTTTCCAACGAGAGGGTATTTAACTGCAGTTGAACTAATTCCAGTGCATTCACTGCTCGAAAAACAATGGGCGTTCACAGTTTATCTTTCAGTGCTGAACTTTACGAATGTGCAGAGTAAATAAAAAACGATGCGAAAAGTTTGTCCCATTGCAAAGCAAAGTTGATGAGCTTTTAAGGACGGAGGCAACAGGAATTTTCTCGCATACAAATGTTGTGCACTTTTTTGGGTGTGTCCTTTGGCAGCCAACTGAAAGGATGACAAACAGCACATTGCTGTCGGACGAGTGTGCTCAATGATTTATGAATATGTGCTCACATTTCAGGCGGTCATGAAACATTAAGGTTTAATTAAGCGTTCGTCAAATGGCCCCAAGGGACAACTGGTCGCATCCTGAAAAGCTCCTGACATCCTGTTTTGTTTAGCCCTGCGGCTCGTACGTTGCAACATCGCATTGCATCGTATTGTCCCTGTTGGAATGAGCCCGCATTGAATTCACTTCCGCTGCAGCTAAAGCAGCCGCCGCAAACCAAACGCTAAACACAATGCCAGCTCTGGTCACGTAGCTGCCAAGGACAACAAACGAACGGGCAGCTCACAAATGTGGGCGTAGTGGGAGCTACATAAGCTCTAAACAGCCGCATCCGGTGCCACCACACCCGTATAGTATTCCAAAAATTAAGCGCATTTAATACTCGGGCTACATTCGTTTTGATTACGTCTCTGGGACTATATATATATATTTTTTTATAAAACTAACTGCGCCTGCAGCAACAGCAGCAGCAGCTAGAAAATCAATGCGAAACTTTTCCTCTTTGTCCTTTAGCTGCTGCTGCTGCTGCTGCTGCTGCTGCTGCTGCTTCGGCTACTCCTCCTGCTTTTGCTCCTGCTGCTGCTTCTGCTACTGTTGATGTTGCTCTTTCAGCAAGTCTATGCAAGCCCAGCATTTTTCGATACCCTGTGCTCATAAAGCGCTTTATTCAATTGTAGAATTATAAGGTTTACTTGAATCCTTATTCCTTGCTCTAACATTCTAGATAAAAATACTGAACACCAAATTTATCCATATAATCTCGCATATATATTAAATGTGTCAACAGTTGTACCCAGGGTGTCTGTAAAACACTTTTTACATCTCATATTTTCTAATATACCTGTCCCTGAAAGGATACAAGGGAAATATTGTAAATATTCGATTGAAGCGAAAAGCTTTTAATCGGCTTTCGTTAGGTGAACTATAAAAATTGAATAGGAAAACTATCACCTTTTGCAGACTACAGACTAGACAGGTTGTAAAGTGCTCTGAAATAACAATGCACTAGCCAGTGAGGATGCTGTATTAAACCATTAAGCTGCGCTTAAATAAGCTAAGATTGTGTTGACTCTGGCTTTAACTAAAGGTATTCTAAGCAAGAGTTTTAGTCGAAATAGAAGGGAGAGAGAGTGGGAGCGAGTAGAGACTTGTCTAAAGGGATTCATTAGAATTATGTTCTGTTTGCATTTCTGACTTGGTTTCTAGAGTCCTTGATGTGTAGAGCATATGAAAGTTGGCAAACTGCTGTGTATAGTTGTTTTACCTGCTACCTGCACATATTTGTTGTGCTTGTAAACAATTTGTAGCAATATTTGATTTGATATTTGCTCGCACAATCGGTGCGCTGATTGAGCGCAAGGATGCTGCCTGCAGCAAAAGCAGCCATATATAGATACACATTGATTGCACACCCACGTTCTTATATCAGCGGTATTGTATGGCATTTGTAATGCATGGAATATATTATTTTTTAAAGAAGAGCGGCAACAACAAATTAAGTACGAAATATGAGTACATGTAAAAGGAATAATGATTAGGTTAAATGTAAATGCAAATTAATGTAGCACTTCCTGTCAGGCGTCCTTAAAGTGCTAACGCACAGGCAAACAGGCTTTATTAATATATTATGTATGCACATTGCAGTTGTAGATGGAACATATCAATTATGCCTGATGCATGTTGCAGCTGCCTTTGGCTGGCAAGCGTCAAAATTTTGTTACTTTGCGAAGTTTTGCATATATATTAAGTTTTCTGCTTAATATTAATGTAGCACGCAGCAAGGAGCTGCAAAATGTAAAAATTCCCACGCTGCCGTGGTCCAAGTTCAGCCAGCAGCTGTCAAGTTGAGATACAGATACAATTGCAAACTCAGATGTAGATACAGTTGTTGCGCCATGTGCGCCGCTTGCGAGGCGTGCGATTATTTATTTATTCATATGAGTGTGCGCTTGGTCTGTTTACATTCCTGGCATACTTATATTCAGCGTCAGAAATACTTCTTTTGGTTTCATTTATTTTACGCAATTAATTAAAATTGTTTCGTCTCTGTGAAAGCACTTCAGTTGTTTACGTTTCATTCTCGCTGCCTGTCGATGATATTTTTACAACGTGTGCGTATAATTCATAGAATATTTTTATGATTTCGAAGTACCGTAAAAATGGTAATGATCTTTTTATTTATTTATGTGTAACTATGACGAAAATACCTAATTCAAAAGAATTATATATGCAAAATCTGCGTTAATTAATTAAAAAAGATATTTACTTTATATATAACTAAGATCTACACTTGCATGCTTCCAAGTATAATTTATACAGAATCCCTGCCGGTTGAAAAGTAAAGTTTCATGGCAAAGTTTGCGAAAGCCCCTGCAAATGATTGAAAGGTGAAAAGCCGTTTCAGCGTTTACCTCCATTAAGTTATTCAAATAAGATGCCTTTTAGCTGCCTGTCGTATGTTTAATTAACTTAATTGCACAAGCGACCCAATGAAACTTTTGAAAGCATAAAAGAAGTTGACTTTAGAATTGCAATTAGAATGATTTTGCAGCGGACACGTTGTCGGGCTCCAACTAACCGTGAACCTTTTACTGACTTAACACAGTTTTTAAATTTGCTTTACTTAATAATTTGCTTAATTTGTTTATTCTTAAGCTTTTATCGAATATTGAACTGACTTTGAATCAATCTACTGTAAACGCCAAATACAATAAAAACGATTGGATTACCATTTGAAATATAGAAACCAAATAAATTTCGATTTACAAATGAGAAACTGCATTGATTGCAGGATGGTTTAATGCAAATTGAAAACGCAGTGAGTGCGAGTAAACTTGATTGTCTGTGATTGCTGGCACTCACAGCAACGTGGATGTTAGTTCAGCTTGGTTGGGTTATCCACAGCTTTTATAGATTCTCCATTAAAATAAAAGTGCACTGAAAAAGTTAAAAACTTATAATTTCAAACTTATAGATATTTCTTACAGTCGAGGAGTGGGGCGCCCACCTTCGGTTTTTATTCCTTTCTTTATATGCGGTTTTAGTAATCCTTGAATGGTAAATTCAAGTTGTGCTGCTTCAACTCTGACTCGTAATATAAATCAACTGTTTAATCTGCCCCTGGGTGCAAGTGACATGCATCAGTAATTACGTTAAGCTAAACGGTAACTTGAGAGTCTTCACTCTCCGCTCTCTACAAAAGCTTGTGGAAATGGATTTGTGGTTGCGGGCAGCACGGACCTCACGGACAGCAGTTCAAGTAACCGACTTTTCATTTGGGTTTGACGAATGGTCGACGGGTCGACGGGTGTGTCGGGATGTGTGTGTCGGTGTGGGTGTGTCGTGTAACTTGGTTAATCAAAAGATTTTACGTCTGACTTAGTTACATTATGGTAATTTATCAAATGTCGATGTTATTGTGCTTGCCACACTTTGTGGCAGCTTTTCTGCTGGCAACGTCACCAGACACTTCAAGCCGTAAATCATTTTGTGTCTTCATCGATTTTTACGACTGGCACACTGTGGTCTCTCTTAGCCTCAACGTTTCAGCCATTTTGTTGAGCAAACGTGCTGAATTTGCTCTATTTTCCAACTGCAACTCGCACAACAAGCACCCAGCGCATCATTAGTTACATTACTCAACCCCAAACAAACCATTCCACGCAGCCCCCAAGACACCAGCCAAGCTGTGCTCGAAACGCAACGACTAAATTGAAGTTTAAAATAAAAACTTTGCAGGATAAAGAGTGTTATTTGCGCAGCATTCAGCACGAGGATCCCAAAGCATAGCACATCCCAGCACAGCTAGCGAGAAACCACCCAAAGCCGCCCACGCACACTGCACATAAACGGCTCAGATAAAACAGAGAACAAAAGGCTGTGACCAGAGACAGCTCTACAAAATATAATGAGAAGATTGTGCATACGAGGGTCGATTAAAGAATTTACAGCTTGCCTTTTTACCATATCTGCATTCTATGACACTGAAATTACTAACTAATCTTGGACTACTTAAACATAAATAGACATCTAAAATATGAAGAATTCTCTGATTGGTGAGGCTTAGGCTAAACGGGTCAGCTGTACAAGCTCTTCGCTCCACATGCCATATATGACAATACTCTAATAACTGCCCTCTAATGTGTTTTTACGGTTATGAGCATGCAGTTGGCTGTGGGAATGTGTGAAGAGTGCCAAAGGGTTGACAGGTTCCACGAAATCAGGTCAATTGTTAGCGGGATGCTATAAAAAGTGAAGCCATCATAAAAAGAACGGCAACAAGGAGCGATGTAAAGCTAACGAGGAAATCTGACACATAAAAGACACGATGGTTAAATAAGAGCTAATATCGCTTATCTTAAAGGCATTATAGGAATAATCAGCAAATTTAACAGAGCTTGCCAAAAATACGTAATTTCTCAAATTCAAGCAACGATTTAAATTTTCCTTTGTTTTATTGCAGACAGCAGACTTTGCCCAAACTTAACGCAAGGATAAAGCCACCGTGTAAATACTCGAAAGCTGCTGCTAGTCGGAGAGTAGACAACTGCAACAACAATGTCTAAGCACACAGACAACGATAATCTGCGCAATGACATCTACGAGAATCTGCCCTGTCAGGCCATGTATAATGAATCCGTGCGCAAAATGCAGCACCAGCAACAACAGCAGCAGCAACATCATCAGAAGTCCTCACAGGCTGGCGGGCAGCCGTTGCTGAACCACATCGGCAATAGTAATCCGAATGCCAACTCCAATTCGTTGGGCAACTGCAATTCGGGGCCGGGGAACAACAAGCAGCATCACGCTGGCAACATGCCCAAGGAGATGCTCTATGCGACGCCGCTGCGTAAGTCGGATCGTTACAAGAGCAGCGAACGGAGTCGACATGGTGTGGCCATGGAGGCAGCATCGACTGACGCCAAACTGTCCAATTTGCGGGACTCGAATCGATTGGCCAGTGCGCGCAATGGCAATCCCGTCCAGGTCACTGACTTGGATGCCAATGATGAGGAGGAGCAGGTGGAACGCGAAACGGATGCCAACGCTTCCACTAGTGCCTTGGTCGGCGGCTCCAAATACAGCAATCAGCCGGCTTCGCTGGGCGCCGGCAGCACGCCCAATCAGCAGCTGGAGGATCGACGCATACTCAACTTTCTGAAAGACACCACGCAGGCGCACAAGAAGTTGGAGATTAGCGGCCGAGATTGTCCCAATGCCAGCTTCTCGAATTTGGCTCGTGAAGAGCACTTTGCCAATCTGGTGCAGCAGAACTTTGCACTCGAGCTGGCACCCACTAATGGCGCTACAGGCAGCTCCGCGCCCGAGGAGGATGGCTTAGAGCTGGACAAGCAGCAGAAGCAGCCAACGCATGAAACAGCCGCCAATTTGGAGTCGCTGATGCAACGAAAACACTCGCCGGACAAGGAAGTCAATGGGCTAGCTCCATTGGAGCCCAGTAATCATCGCATCGTAAGCACAGTCTATATACATCGAGAGTGGGTGCTAAAGAAGATTGCGCTGTGTCTGGAACAGCGGACGGCTGGCAAGAAGCCCATGCCGGTTGCCCTAGGCGCAGCTAGCGCTAGTTATGTGTCAGCGCGTGCCAAGGCGGCTGCCATATCGAGCTCCAGCTACAATGGCTGCCTGGTGCTGGGCTCCAATGGCTCCGGAAAGACCTCTATTTGTCAGGCTATCATGAAGGGCAACTCAGGCACCAAGGGCATACTCAATCGCAAGCTGCTGGCATGCTATTTGATCGAGTCGCAGAATCCCGAGTGCCATAGCCTTTCGCTGTTCATGCGAAAGATTGTGCTGCAGCTGCTCAGCCATGCTTCGCTCATAACCCGAGATGATAGCCAGAAGATTATAGATGAGGGCTTTTCCTTTCTGCGCGAGGAAGCGCAGCAGCAGGAATCCAAGCTGGATGAGGCAATGAATAATATAACACTCAGCGAGAATGCCGAAGAGCTGCTCATCGAGGAGCTCAAGCGCGGAGCCAGCGAGTGCGATACCAAGGAGCTGGATATGTTTGAAAAACGGCGCACTTCAACTACACAGAAGCCGAGCAAATCGAGCCTAACGCGGCAACAATCGGAACCGGCGCCAGCTCAAAAGCAGCTCTCGCCGGATCTGGCAGATCTGGTCGAGAGGCCCGGTAACAACAACTATGGCACACATCCTCCGAAGCGTGGTGGAAACACAGTCGTTCAGGAACGGGGCGAACAGGACAAGGACACGGGCAGCGAAAAAGAACAAAAGCAAATACTGGAACAGAAAGAAAAGGAGAAGGAAAAGGATACTGCTAAAAGCAGTCCTGTCAAGTCCAAGTCGAAGATACCAGTGAAGCGTGGTCGTACCGGCAGCGGCGTCTCATCGCCGGCAAAGCAGGTGACCGCCACAGCTACCAATAGCAACGGCCAAGCAATACAGCAGGGCGGCGGTGAGGATATAGCCGACTTAGTCAGCGAGCAGCTGAAGAGTGAGATCGAGGCGGCCATCAAGGATGAGAAACAGGAGAAGCACAACGAAGACAAGCCGGAGGCGGACAAGAAATCAACAATACAGGAGCCACAGGAAGAGCAGACTCAACCGCAAGCAACAAATGTGGAGCCGGAAAAGGCAGAGGAAGAGCCGCTCATCGACTTTGGTGCCAGTGCGGAGCGTGTGGAATTGCCCAAGGAGATGACACCTACAGCCGTAAATATACCACCCATTCCTGGCGAGAAACCAAAGATAAAGAACAGCACCAACACATTGCCACCACCGCTGCCCAAGACCAAGAGCTGTCGGACGATCATTGCCGATGGCTACTACGAGCTGCTGATGTCAAATCCAGAAATGCTGGAGTGCCTCAGCGTGGACAGCATTGAGAAAAATCCCGATGAATGCTTTAAGAAGGCGCTACTCTTTCCACTGCTCGAGCTGACGCCACCAAAGACCGCATTACTGCTGCTCATAGATTCCATCGATGAGAACTACATCAATGAGGGGAATCTTATATCCACGCTGAAGGGTGGCCGTGGCACTGTGACCACTCACAAGAGTCGCAACGTGGCCGAGCTGCTCTCGAACCACATACATCTCTTCCCCAAGTGGTTGTTCCTGGTGTGCACCACCAAGAAGCAGACGAAGCAAATAACCAAAATGTTTACTGGCTTCAAGAAGATAACACTAGATGATCTGCGCAAATCACATGTCGTTAAGGATGTCCAGGAGTATATTATAAATCGTTTGAATTCCGATTTTAAAGACAGCATTATGCTAACTAAGGAGATCATCGAATCGCTGCATCAGCTCTATATCAAATCGAATGGCTGCATATTATACCTGGAAAAGGTGCTGCATGGCATCAAGGACAACTTCTTCAGCTTTCGCGAGATCAAGCTTATACCCTGCACCCTGAACGGCCTTTACTTGTACATCTGCCAGAAGTCCTTCAATAAGAAGCAGTACATGAAGATACGGCCGCTACTTAATGTGCTTCTCGCCTCCTCCGGCTATGTGGACAAGCTCTTCCTCTTCAATTGTTTGCGCACCCACAACTATACCATCGATGGCCACGAGTTCGAGAAGCGTCTGCAGCTCATGCGCAATATTTTGGCGTATGATGCCAATGCGCAACGCTTAAAGATTTTCCACAGCTCCTTCGCAGATTGGCTGGTGGATGTGAAGTTCGCAACCAAAAAGTTTATCTGCGATGTGAACGAGGGCCACGTTATGATCTCCATGTACTACCTTCTAGTGGCGGATACACTATGCGCTAATACGGTTCGATGCTTCGCCTATCATCTCATCAAGTCCGGCGAGTATCTGACCAGCCGGCATGTCGATCTGGATCTCATCTTGATGCTACTTGAGTCACGCTTGAACCTGAGCGATTGCTTCTACACAAATCATTTGAACTGCTGCGCTCAGTGCGAGCACGACTTTAAGAACGATGTCAACTTTTTACCCAAGACGCGATCTATGCTGGACCGTTTTCTCACCAACGAGCTGAGCGAACCGTTTGCCCAATTCCTATGCGATTTTTTCAAGCCGAGCCTTCCTACGGATGCCAAGATGCTGAAGCTGCTCATCGAGACGGGCATCAACAATGCCGACACCCAAAACTCCTCCGAGTCATCATTAATGTCGCCGGAACTGTCAGAGAAATCACAAAATATTGACTTTGAGCTGGCAGATCTGCTGTTGTCCAGCGAGAAGAGTTGCCTACTGGAGACGCAGCGCACGATGAGTCCCTCGGAGCAGAGTGAACCGCCGCATGAGAGCCAAGATGAGAACGCCTCAAGCACGTTGCATCAGCTGTCCGATTCGCATCACATTGAGCTGCATAAGGGCAAGGCGTTGATCCATATCCTCGCCAACGATGGCAATCATCATCTGCTGGAACGAGCTCTCAATGCCTGCAAGAGTCCCATTGACTTGGAGATTGAGGACTATAACGGGCAGACAGCTCTCAATATAGCCTCGAGGAATGGCCATCTGGAGGTAGTCAAGCTGCTGCTTAGCTTCTCGCAACCTTGTAACGATGGTACTGGACGCATGAAGCGTGTGGATGTCAACCATGCGGATCGCGATGGCTGGACACCATTGCGCTCCGCCTCGTGGGGTGGACACAGCGAGGTGGTCAGGCTGCTCATAGCGCAACCCGCCTGCAAGATCGATCTGGCCGATAAGGAAGGACGCACTGCACTGCGCGCTGCAGCCTGGAGCGGGCACGAGGACATCTTGAAACTGTTGATTGAGTCGGGCGCCGATGTCAATTCTGTGGATCGCCAGGGACGCACATCGCTAATTGCTGCCTCATACATGGGCCACTATGACATTGTAGAGATTCTACTGGAGAATGGCGCCAATGTCAATCATCTTGATCTAGATGGACGCAGTGCACTGTGTGTAGCTGCCCTGTGCGGCTCCTCGGGCTACAGCAAAGTCATCTCCACGCTGCTGGATCATGGCGCTAACACTGATCAGCTGGACAACGATGGCATGTCGCCACTGCTGGTCAGTTCGTTTGAGGGCAACGCCGAGGTGTGTGAACTATTGCTAGAGAATGCTGCCGACCCTGATCTGGCTGACTTCATGGGCCGTACACCTCTGTGGGCCGCCTGCACGGCGGGTCATGCAACTGTCGTGAGACTGCTGCTTTTCTGGGGCTGCGGCATAGATTGCATGGACTCAGAGGGACGCACGGTGTTAAGCATTGGGGCTGCCCAGGGCAATGTGGAAACGGTGCGCCAACTGCTGGACCGTGGACTAGACGAGACGCATCGCGACAATGCTGGCTGGACTCCATTGCATTATGCTGCCTTTGAAGGTTTTCACGAGGTGTGTCTGCAGCTGCTGGACTCGGGTGCCAAGATTGATGAGTGCGACAATGAAGGCAAGACGGCACTGCACCTGGCCGCACAAGAGGGACGTCTTCGCTGCGTGCAGACCCTGCTGGACATACATTCCAGTTTTGTGGATCAGAAAGCCCATGATGGCAAGACCGCTTTCCGCCTGGCCTGCCTGGAGGGCCACATGGATACGGTGGAGTTTCTGTTGAAGTTTTGCTGCGATGTCAACTCCAAAGATGCCGATTCGCGCACCACTCTTTATATTTTGGCATTGGAGAACAAGCTCGATACTGTCAAATACCTGCTGGACATGACCAATGTGGATGTTAACATACCCGACAGCGAGGGACGTACTGCGCTGCATGTGGCCGCCTGGCAGGGCCATGCTGACATGGTGAAAACTCTGATCGAGGCGGGCGCCGATGTCAACTCAATGGACCTGGAAGCGCGAACTCCGCTCCACTCGTGCGCCTGGCAGGGCAATCATGATGTTATGAATATACTGCTGTACTATGGTGCCCTGGCGGATCATGCCTGCAAGCAGGGTGCCACAGCGCTGGGTATTTCCGCTCAGGAGGGTCATGAGAAGTGTGTCATTGCGTTGTTGCAGTATGGAGCTAATCCCTACAAGTCGGATCACTGTGGGCGCACACCCATTAAGCTGGCGGCCAAGTCTAGTCGCAGCAGCATCCTCAAGATCTTTGAAAGCTATACCAAAAGTAAGAACATTAGCAGGCGCAAAAGTATATTGCTTTGTTACTAAATCCCTTGTCCAACTCTCACTATTCCTCCATTTAGATGAAGCTAGTAATCCCAATGAAGCAAAATTCCATGCCAGCATGCTGCGCTCTCCGGACCAGCCGCCGGCACTGCCCTTGCACCAAAACCTAGCTCCGTATCCAGCACATGCCTCCGCTTCCTCGGTTTGCTCGGCAGCAACCACTGCAACGGTGCACAATGGCAGCAATTTGCAGGCTCTGAATGCCTCCAGTTCCACGCACAGCTCGAACAACTTTTATCAGAACACAATGCAATCAGATACGAGCAGCTTGCACAAGCGCAAGAGCGTCATCTCTAGTCAATCAACGGGCAGCAGCAACGATGTAAGTTAATCCACAATACCGCACACAGCTAACAATTTCTAAAATGCTTTATATATTTTCGATTTTGCAGCAGGCGCCGCTCACCTTTACTCAGCAATTGCAGCGACAAAGCAAGCTTAGCTCACGCAACAATCTGATGGTCAACTCAAAGCACGCTTCAAGCTCTGCCGCAGCGGCTCACAAATCTAGCATCAACGGTGGTGCAGGCGCTCATCAGCGCCACTCCCAAGTGCTGCCCGATCTCAGCGAGCATCAGCTGGGTAAGATATTAATTAATTTCATAATAATTACCACTTAATGGCCAACGCTTTGCATTATAGCAAGCAACATGACAAACGAGGCAGACCTGTATGACATGGAATGCATGTCACCTTTGTATGCCACGCCTCCACACTCGCCCAGTAGCGAGCTGAGCTCACCAGGCCAGCTGCCAGCATTAAACGCCTTTGTGGATGATGATCGTGCTGGACCCAGTGGTGGCAGCTCAAAGCCCGGATTGCCCGATAATCATTTTGCCCGGGATACCCATATGCGTATCATTTTAGGCAACCTCAAGGAGAATCAGCCTAGCTCATCGAGGTGAGTTCTTGTTGCACATAACATTGCTTATGTCCGTGTACTAATTGTGCTACTCTTCTCATTAAACAGCAAGAGCAAACGCAGCGGCGTCTCAAGTAATCCAGCAATGCGGCTTATTCGCAGTCGCTTCGATTCGGCAGCACAACTCATCAGGCGCACCAACAACATGCTCTCCTCCAACAGTAACCAGGGTTCGTCCAGCATTGGTGTCAAGTCGGGAACCTTTCAATGGCGCAAGGAGAGTCAAATGTAAACCCAGATGCACCGACACAGACATACACTCAATTAGACAGTAGCTCGTTCTTGACTTTATTGAGTTTATACTTTATATGAAGAAGTATTTGTTTTTTTGTGATAGTTTCAATTTTAGTATACACACGTATTATGTATTCTTATTTCGATAATTAAAAATACATCTAGACCTATTGCAAAATTGTAGTTTAAGGCACGCGCAAAGTATTAAGCTGTGTAGATTCATCAACGATTATAAAGTATTTCCCTACATTTTGGCATGCTATCGTAGACAACTCCTAAAAAGTATCATCTAAATTAAACAACATTACAATTATAATGTTCTTTGGCATGCCGAAGACTTAGTGCCTTTGCAGGTGCAAATCTCTATTAAATATCAATTGATATTCGCCTTTTAAAATCCACAAAACCGATCCCAAAAAAACAATTTACTTAACGTTGATATTAAGATGAAAAAACAAAACGGTATGGGTTCATTGCTATATCTTCCAATGTTTTACGTTTCAAAATTACCTGCAAGGGCATTACAAACAAAACGAAAGAAATAACAATCAAATACCCAAAAGTATACAAACATTTCTTTTTATAAAACAATTTGTTTCCATATTAATGGAATATGCTATGCTGAAAAAAAAAAAACAATATTCTTAGTTTAAATTTTTTTGGTCATGCGACCGGCAAATTGTGAGCGCCATACTATATAAACCTAAACGATATTCGAAAAATGGCTGAATAATATAATTTATTTTATAACTAGCACTAAAGCAATTGTGGCATATGCAACTGAGCTACGTATGGGCATATATTAATGCTGATTATGTCAATTTTATAATCATTTTCTAAGCTTATCACCAACTTTTCTATGGCATGTTTCTTCAAACACAAATTGTATTTTATCGTCCCAAAAACACAAAAATGTGACCCGTTCCTGTACTTATTTAAAAAACACACACACGTACTCATATATTAATAACAGCAACCCATAAGACCTGTAGACGTAAAATACTGATATATTAACAAAGTTTCAGATGGAATATTTTCCGAAACTCTATCTCTCACTGCAAAGCAGCAAAACACACGCAGACACAGACAAACTATACAACGTACTTGGCAAAATCCAAAAAAAAATATATTAACAGCGAAATGTTGATTAAACAGAAACATTATAACATAATTTATTGTTAAATATACATAAAACTATATATATAAATATATATTTATTTCACAAGACACATATTTACAAGTTAACAACAAGCTGAGTTATTCAAAGATTCAAATTAAACATTATAGATAACCGAACAAAACACAAACATATACGAAAATGGACACAAATAGCATGACGGGATCTAATGAAACCAAAGATAAACATTTAAATTCGGAAAGAATATACATAGACACATACATATACACACACACATAAGATTAACTATACAATATAAATGTATTTATACAAAAGTAGAGTTGTAGTTTGCAAAACGGTTGCATTGAAGTTAAATTATTATATTGACGAAATTGGATACAGGAACCTTTACAGAAATTCTGAGTGTGTTTTTAATTTACATAACAATTTGCGCGAAACCACATGAAACGAAGCATATACATATTTAAATATAAACTATATGAAACTGAATAAAGTGTATATTCATATATAAATAAATTAAAAGTCTTCAAATATTTCATTGGAATGTGTTTATGAACAACTATTTGGTACTGTCAACGAGTATCTTCGGATTGGCAACGCGAAATACATTGGGCACCATTCCAGCTAATGTAGTGAAAAGTTCCTCGGATATATCGTGGGGCAGCAACAATTGCAAGGTGCTAAACGAGAAACATTAATTATGTGAGATCTTATAGAATTCTTGGATTAACAAATGTTACCTCAACTCCGCACCACCCCAAGAGGCAGATTCAATCATAAAGCCCTTGGCGCATTTGAATACGAGCTCTGCCCTTCGAATACACCACGGCACGGTCATGTCCTCGCTCATCTCGTGGCGGAGCAGGGCTGGAATGGTTAATGTGGTTATGTCATGCCGACTTGCCGTTTTAAGAATGTTCCGCAAGCCAAGTATGACCGGATGACGTGAATTTATTTCACTGGGACTGTTGATTGGCTCATCCGAGATCAAGTGAAATATGACGTGCGATTGGGAGAGATTCGAATGTTTGGTTATATAAAAATCGCCTGTCTTTAGCCTGGCCACATGCTGTTTGATAGGCGAGGAGGTGGCGCTACCTTCAGTGCTGTTACCACTGCCACTGCCACTACCATTGCTAGGTGTGCTACTTGTGTCACTGGTATTGAGGGCGCGGATCTGCTTCTCGATCTTTTCCAGTTGCACATCCATCTGATCAAAGTGAAATTCAGTTGATCTATTAGCATTCTTAATTATGCTCTTATTGGCCTGCGCCTGTATGGAAGGAGTCAGCACTACGACGCCGCACAGAGAGCTCGAGTAGAGACCCAAAGCCATGTTGAGACCATTCAAATTCTCATCCACATGCAGAGGGCTGCACAGGTCCGTCACATTGGCGCTTAGTATGCGAATGTTATGCATATGCTTTAGCTGAGATCCCAAATGTATAGTAAAGCTCTCCTCCATTGACGGTTGCTGTGAGACAAACATGGAGGAGCGATTGCCCAAGGGAGTGGACACCGGCGATACTTGAAACATTTGACTCACTTGACTGGTGATCCAATCGCGATATTCATTTTTCTGATGACCCATCATGGCCTCTAGTTCGGATTCATAGCGCTTCCGTACAAAGTTGTGAGTTGTATATTGCTGTGCCAGCAGATTGTTAATGTCCTCCGATGTTGTAGTTATGTCTAGCTGATTGATTTGACTGTCCATTTCCTGTTGCTGGGAATCTTTCAAAGTTTCCACTTCAGAGTCCATATGATCTGTCATATCGGCTATGACCTTCGCATAGCCTCTTTCGCGTTTAAGAATCTCTTCCAATGAAGAGGAGTGCACCAGGCGATGGAAGCTTTGCGCAAATATGTCCTCATCGCTTGGACCAATGCGATCGGCGAATTGAAGCATCTCCTCCTTATATAGTCGTTCTGTATTTCGCACAATAGCCTCCAAGTCCAACTCTTCATTGGCCGCTTGATTGATCAATTTCTCAGAGTAGTCGTCATAGAATTTCTGATGCTCCCGGTCAATAAAGAGCTGCAGTTCTTTCTGTAAATCTATTTGGGGGAGTGTCTAATAAGGGTTTGCTTTATTGTTTAATATATGCCTCTTACTTATGTCTTCGTCCAAATATCGCATCATTGGATCCATTTGGGCTAAAAGCTGTGTAACCAATTCCCCAATGCTTTCATCCTCAAAAGGAAATGTAATATCCAGCTTGGCTTCACAATCTTTACCTGCATAGTCCTTGTAATTGTACACAAATTGGACGGTACTTGTATCCATACTAAACGAGTCTTCAACAACACCTAAACGACCCTGAACCAATCTCTTGGTTAACCCAATGTTCGGCTTGCTTTACTTAATTTGTTAAGCTCTAAAACTCCCGTTTTCATTTATTTACCACTCATACAGCTAATAGTCACGGTTAACATAATTCTATTAGAGATGTACCTTAATTGACTCGATATTTTCTATCGTCATCGGGCTTGCCTTCACTAAGAGAAACAAACCCACGTTTTAATTATGCTAGCACTATATTTTAACATTCAACTTATTTCTAGCAACATTTTTAATATTACTGCCCCCAATTTGGTACTCCCATAACTCCGCTGCAAATATCGCTTGAATACGATACAATGCTATTGAATACAGTTGACTCTTGAGTGTAAATTAACTGGTGTGTACACACTGAAACCATATAAATATGCCGGACTAAGCGTTATTAATAAGAGAAAGAGCATTTTTTTTTAAACTTTATTGTTTATTCAAAAAGAAAAGTATAAATTTCAAAATTATCAAGTCCAGATGCCGGTACGCTTCCATCCGTTACAGCGAAAATCTGAAAATTGCACTTCTGTTGAATCGTTCAACAACTTACCTAAGTCGACCGACCAATCCGAGAGATGCCGCAAAAGTTCAGCACCGCCGACACAATTGCAAGTGTTGATTATCCGCTTTGTGGCTGAATTAGCTTGGCGACCGTCATTTCAGCGCTTTGCATACTTTTCAGCCAACTTGGAACAAAAATTATAAATATACAATTTTAAATGGCATTTATAAGGATATATACCGAGTGTGCAATCCAAATGAAAATATAAAAATTTTAAATGAATAAGAAGGTGCCCGCCCGCAACAATTGCTATCGATTGGAATAATTGGCATTCTGACTCTACCCGCTTACTTGCCTCTTTCAACTTACATTGGAATGCACTCTGGCACCTGCTTTGGCTTTGTGCTTTCTTTGCTGATGCGCCTTGCCTGCTCTAAACGAATACAAGACTTAAGCTATATTCGAATAAATATCAAGACTAGGCTTGAACTAAACAACGAGTTTGATTTGGTTTTTGGTATTTTTTCTTTTTTTTTGTCAATTTTACATAAATTCATTGCTGTATTTTATATCTTTCTTTGCTACATTTAAGTGTAAATTTTGTTAACATATTAAAAATCCTTAATTGCGCTGACCTCTGAGAAACTGCATACAAACTGCTACAAGGTTTCGATTACAATTAATTGTTGTTCATTTGGTTATAACTAAACATTGGGAGATAATTTAGTTCAATGTCGTCATAGTCACTTACAAAAAACTAGCACAAGTAGCTCCTCCTCGCTATGATATATGTATATATATATATATATATGTAAATATATGTTATTAATGCTAAGGCAGTGCGCGGCTCTTGAAAAAGTGAGCGCACGCTCTACACGATTTTAAAATTATGAGAACTTAAACCTAGAGAAAAGTATTAATACATTTTTGTTTAAATATAGATTTGTGTAGATTTTTGCACTGATTATCAGAAATTGTGGGCGGCAGCCATTCAACCATTGGGGGTGTTCGCTTGAAATTAAGCATCGGTTGCCGCCCTGAAGTTTGTTTTTTTTATTCTTTTTTGTGTTTGTATATACTAAGTTATTTTACTGTTAACTGAAGGATTCTTGATAATCAAATGTGGCTAAAAGGATACATAATTTAACTTTGAATTGTTTGTTATCTTAAGCTTTTTCTTTAGCAGCACAACTTTTATGTTGTGAAGTTTCTAGTTTACAATGATCCTTTTGTATTAAGTTTAGGTTGGCTACAAAATGTTGAATATAAATATTATGCTATTTTGAATATTGAATAGGTAGGTAGGTAGGTTTGACGAGTGTGAGTAGGTTAAATCAATTATCGTATATCGTAATATCGTATTGTAACTGTGCAAATTACTCTTATTGAATCCTGGCCAGCTGCTGTGTACGTGTACTCTGCTGGATGCGTATGTGTGAGGGTCTCGCTGCTGCTGCTGCTGCTGCTGCTTACTTCACTTCTCTGTTCACTTCTCTCTTCTCTGTATTTGTAAGTTCTGTTAAAACTCTGCTGTTGCTGCTGCTGCTGCTGTTGTTGCAACTGCTCTCTGAATAAAACGCACCACACACACACACACATTCACAGACTGATCTGCTCTGTACTTGTACTGACTTTGACTGAACCAATCTCACACGACTGCACTGCACTGTTCCTGATATTTATCTTCTGTCATGCTTTTGGTATGGTTGTTCTCGGAAAACTTCTTAGGTATATGAGTTGTTGCTCATATCATTGAATTGCGTATCGTTTACTTGACTTTGACTTTTGGGCATAAACTGAGCCACTGCTAATTTACCACCTATAAAATGTCGATAAATGAGAAACGTTATTTAAATCAATTGTTGTTAAGCATTCCAACATTACTTAAAAGGTTTTTTCTAAATACGTTTACACAAAATAATTACTTAAAAATAGTAGTTTTCAAAAAGTTGAAGAGTTTAAACAGAAAATGTTTTTCAAGCTTAGATATTTGACTCTAATATGCTGGTTAGAAGCTACTAGGAAATGCCAATAAAATAAGATGTCTATTTATAAAATGTGTATGTATATTTAAAACACAAGAAACCTAACCAAATTGATTGGTAAATCAAGTAAATAATATATTTATATATATATATATATATAGAAATATACTTTATAGATATATATATATATATAAATATATATAGATGAATGGGTGGGTAAGTTGGTAGGTTGCTTTTCATAATTGTACTTGTTAGGTCCTTAACTAAATTTATAGCTATGCTCACCTCGTCTGGGCGCCTCAATATCTGCGGTTGTTGCCTCCACCGTTATTGAAGCCCTGATTGTTGCCACCATAATTGCCTTGATTGCCACCGCCTTAAAAACACAAAAAAAAAACCCACATGCACTTTTAGAGAGTTTCGAAACTAGCCTTAAGCTCTTAATATAACTAACAACTGAACTATAACTTGGCTGCGTATTACACCTCATTGGACTGATGCATGTATTACATAGGTAAAACAGCAAAAAACCGAAGTCTTATGCATGTAAATTGACGCATTTAAGGTAAAGCTAACGGCTAAACTCTATGGACGTTCCAACAATTAGATATCTGCACTATGATTATCTAAGTTCCTAAAGCTCAACTTTCAACCAAAATTGGAATGTAAATTGAGAGAGATGGGATGTTTTCGAATGATGCTTACCTGCTTTGTTGCCAAAGTTGCCGCTCTGGTAGGGCTGCATGCGATTGTTGCCAAAGTTGCCACTACGCTGGGGGCCACCGCTGTAACCTTGCTGATAATTTCCAAAATCATTGCCACCATTGCTACCCCAGTTGCCGTTACCGCCGCCGCCACCGAAGTTGCCACCGTTATTGCCCCAATTGTTATCCCAGGGTCCGTTATTGCCCCAGCAATTATTACCACCGCCATAGCCGCCGCCAAAATTATTATTGCCCCAATTGTCGCTATTACCGCCTCGATTGCCCCAGTTTCCGTTTTGGTTACCGAAGTTGCCACCGCCGCCCATATTACCGCCCATGTTTCCACCCCTATTGCCGCCACCACCACGACCACCCTGGCCGCGACCACCACCACCACCGCCTCCCATTTCATTTTGCTTCGGCAAAGCCTTCTTTACGTCCACCATTTTGCCATTGAGCTGATGCTGTTTTTGCACTGTAAATAAATAAATATAAAGAATACACGATAAGTTTTGTATAAAATATCACTTCTAGCCACGAGTCATATACTTTTTGATCATTACTGCAAAGGGGAGCAATAACATACATAATAGAGGCTAGGTATTAATTTCACAGTAATGTAACGCCGCAAAGACACAAGGTATTGCAATGCGGAGCTGGAACTGTATAATTAAACTGAAGAGGAAATTGTAACGAGGCTGCGTGTTACGCTGAACTAGGATTTTTATAGACATTCGCATAACATAGCTTAGCCGACGCTTTCATTGTTCTCACAGCGTTTAATAGGAAACCGTACAAGCGAAGGTCAAGCTTGTCAATTTGTCAGTACTGTGTAGGTAGTTTTATTGACCAATTGTAGCATATACGTTTTCATCAATGAGACATTCAAGAAGCCCAATCAACAAAGATATAATATGTGCAACGTTTTTCTTACAGTTATGAAACGCCGCAAAGACACATCAAACATTGCAATGCGGAGCTGGAACTGTATAATTAAACTAAACAGAAAGAATTGTAACGAGGCTGCGTGTTACGCTGAACTAGGATTTTTATAAACATTCGCATAACATAGCTTAGCCGACGCTTTCATTATTCTCACAGCGTATAATAGGAAACCGTACAAGCCAAGGTCAAGCTTGTCAATTTGTCAGTACTGTGTTACTTATTCTATTGCCTAATTGTAGCACATACGTTTTCATCGGTTAGGCATGCTGAGTGCCTAATCAACAAAGATATAATACGTGCAACATTTCTTTTACAGTCAAAAAACGCCGCAAAGACACATCAAACATTGCTATGCGGAGCTGGGACTGTCTATACATTTAAATGAAAAAATGTAATAGTCTTATACTTACACACAACTTTGTCCACGGGATCGTAATCATCGAATTCGACAAAGGCAAAACCACGTTTCTTGCCAGTTTCTTTATCCATGACAATATTGATATCAACAATGCTACCATAGTGCTGGAAATATTCACGCAGGCTCTGCTCATCATGATCGTCCTTCAGGGCACCGACGAACAGCTTCTTCACCGTTGCGCCTGCATTTGGCGAGTCAATGTCTTGGCGTGGCACAGCACGTTTAGGCTCGACGACGCGTCCATCGATTTTGTGAGGACGAGCCTTTTGGGCTTCATCTACCATGCTTGAATGCGAGTATGTAATGAATCCGAAACCGCGTGAGCGCTTCGTACGTGGATCCTTCATAACAACCACATCGACAATTTGTCCCCATTTTTCAAAGTGCGCTTTTAAATTGTCATCCGTGGTACGGTAATCGAGACCTCCAATAAACAATTTACGCATATGCTCTGGCTCAGAAATCGAGTCCTAAATAAAGAGAAAATACAAGATTCATATCGATTTTTTTTTTCATAAAGCCAAACATAACCTCTACCCCGCTGACGCACATGCGAAAAATTTCAAAATGGCGGTCATCGAGCCACGCGTATGTATGTACCCATACATGCACTCAAGTTACATATTTTTAAGAAATTTTCGCCGAAAATTTGTACTTACATCATCATGCTGACCATTAGAATTTCCATTCTGATCGTTATGGCCGCCCATTTTAATTATTATTTCTCAATATATATATATATTTTTATAAATTTAAAAAACGACACAGCACGAACGCTCTACTCGCTTGCGTTGAAAACTGAGAATTGAACTGTAATGCTAGACTATGTGGCCAAATTCCACAAACGTCAATATACTTTCAAAGCAGTGTTGTGTAATTACTTTGTTTTTAAAGAAAAGTATGCTGTCCACATTTTCTGATTCTATATATAAATTAAAATACATATATAATATATATGGTTCGATATAGATTGACTAATTAATATGTAGATATATATTTTATTTGTGTTATTAGACATACATGCTAAGAAATCAAATAGTAACTTTATTTATATTGCTATTAATTTCCCTTGTATTCGCATATATATACATCGCTAGTGTATTATGATATCGTCAACCAATGAAAAAAATACTTAAAAATAAATATCTGACCACCCTACATGGCTTAACAAGTTCACTAGTTCGTTTTTTTCGTTCAATACAAAGACAGGATGCCGAAGAAAAAAACCGGCCAGCGTAAAAAAGCTGAAAAACAAAAGCTACGTTTAAAGGAGATTAGAGGCCGAGAGATTCCTCTCGCCGATCTGCCTTGCAATGCTCCGATGGACTGCGATAAGTGCGAGAAAAAACAAAAGTCTCGCGCTTTTTGCTACTTCTGTCAGAGTGTGCAAAGATTGCCCATTTGTGCACAATGTGGCAAAATAAAGTGTATGTTAAAAACTGGAGACTGCGTAGTCAAGCATCCCGGTGTGTATACAACTGGATTCCCTGGCATGGTTGGTGCCATTTGCGACTTCTGCGAGGCCTGGGTGTGTCATGGACGGAAATGCTTAACCACGCACGCGTGCACCTGTCCGTTGCAGAACGCTGTGTGCTTGGAATGCGAACGTGGTGTCTGGGAGCATGGCGGGCGTATCTTCAAGTGCTCGTTTTGCAATGGCTTTCTTTGTGAGGACGATCAGTTTGAGCATCAGGCCTCATGTCAGGTTCTGGAATCGGAGAACTACAAGTGTCAATCATGTAATCGTCTAGGTCAATATTCATGTTTGCGCTGCAAGACTTGCTACTGTGAGGATCATGTACGTCGCAAGGGCTTCAAGTACGAGAAGAATAAGGCCATCCCTTGCCCCAAGTGTAACTACGAAACGTCCGTTACAAAGGATTTGAGTATGTCTACGCGCTCTCACAAATTTGGTCGTCAGCAACAAGGCATGGGCAGTGACGATGAAGAGGGGTATGGGGGCTACTATGGAGGTTATGGTGCCAGTAGTAGTGCAGGTTATTCATATGGAGATGATGATGATGACGACGATGGCGATGATGATGAAAGTGAAAGCGAAGATGAGGATGATGAAGAGGAGACAAGTGGCAGTGAAGCTGACGAGACCGCCGGAGTTGATAAAAAAAATGAGAAATAAATCAAAATTTTTTAATAGATACATTTACGTATATATGTATAAAATTGATGTGTGAATTACATAAATCTGTTGTGGCAAAATAAGCTATTTATTTATATTCGAAGGGCTTACATTATTTAGTTATTTTTATAGAAGACATTAATACGCACAAAAGGTTGTTGCTATGAACGAAGGCGAATATTTTACGTATTTCACAACACTGGCCAATTGCACGTGCGATATAGACTTGTTTTGATTTGAAATGGACATTTTTAATAATCGTCCGGGATTTTGTCCGTCCTGTGGGTCAATCTTGCCACCACTGCAAATCAAAGGAAACGTATTTTGTTATAACTGTAAACAAGAGTCCTCTCCAGATGGTAAGATATGGCTGGCATTTATATGATTTGCAGTCTCAATTCAACGCATCCAATTTCACAGTTTTCATCGGGGAGACATCTGAATATACAATACACTTTAACAGATTCGATCCCAGCAAGATTTCTAAAAAAGGAATCCCTAAGTCCGAAGCAGCAGAAGCAGATGGTCCCGTTGTCGAGCGAAAGTGCCCCAAATGCGGCAACGAGAAAATGTCCTATGCCACATTACAGCTGCGCTCGGCCGACGAAGGTCAAACGGTGTTTTTTACATGCCTGAAGTGCAAGTAAGTGAATTGTTTTATAGGGATTATCATATTTATCCCTAACTTCGTTTTTTATTTAACAGATACAAGGAATCGGAGAACTCCTAAATGCATAATTTTAGCTGTTAGTCAACTAACTGTGTAAATACATATAACTTATATTAATCAAAATAACTATGCTCAACGGCCTGAAAATAAATGTAGAGGGAAAAATATATCTTTAGATGTCGCATATTGGTTATAACATCACTACTCACCTCTGTGGCTTTTAGGCGATTCTTTGGATTATAAACGACCAAGTTGGATACCAAATCTATTTCAACAGCATGTGTGCAGCTTGGAAACAAATTGTCCCAATGTATGCCCACCGAATTGGGAAACCTGCCAGCAGCAACGATTTTTATAGCAGTTAAAAGTATAAACAATTTTATATTTTACCTTATTTTACTGTAATCGGGCAGTGACGTTAGCTCTGGCCATTCATTCAGTCGTGGACTACCCAAAGTGCGTATTATTATGGCCAGCTGTTCAATATCTGTTGTGCCCGCAAAGAGCGGCACACCACGTAGCATTTCGGCTAACACATTACCGCAGGCCCATAAGTCGACTGCAGGTCCGTACTTCTGACTGCCCCAGAGTATTTCGGGAGCACGATACCAGCGAGTAGAGACCTGCGGCGAATACAGGCGCGATTCCTCGTCGGGAAAGTAGAGGCGCGCTAAACCAAAGTCTGCAATTTTTAGGACATCCATATGACTGATAAGCAGATTGGCGGGTTTGATGTCCCTGTGCATAATGCCCGCCTCGTGCAGGTAGGACATGCCCTTGAACATCATTAGAGAATACTTTCGCACCTGCTGGCGACTCAACGGATTCACCTCGCTTTTGAGGCGGCCGTACAGTGTGTCGGGCATATATTCCAACACAAGCGATAGGCCCGTCAGATCGGGATATATCTCAATGATATTAAGTATCTGAAAGTGTTAAGTACATATAGAACTTTGCCACGGCATTAAATCAGAGCTTACATATTCCGAATTGCACAATTGAAGTGACTTAATCTCGCGCAGCGTATTCAAGGAAATGTTGCCGAATTTGTTTTTCAATGCCACCTTCTTGATGGCCACCTCCACATTGCGCTGCAAATCGATGGCCTTGAACACGCAACCATGCACACCTTCGCCTATTTTATCCTGCATTTTATAACGACTAGGCGCATAGTCGTCCATGATTTAAATTCGCTAATTGAGTGCAGCTCTACACAATTTTTTCCTTTGTTTTTTTTATATGTTAACGTATTTTGTAGTCCCTGGCAACGGTCATAACAATAAACCAAACAGTCGTTACCCTGCGAATATCTGTAACAAAACAAAAGTCCCCACAGCTAGCCACCTGTTGGTAGATTGTTTACGCAGCTTTTGCCCAGTTTCAGCAGAATGCGAATTGTGGCCCAAAGCGTGGACTGTCAAATTTCTAAGCATGCGCATTGCAGGGCCCTTGGCTGCTGTCAGCTCAGCTGTCAAATTGTAAGGATACACAATTTTTCGGACCTTCGCAACTTCCAACGAAACGAAAACTGCTTAAAATATAAAATAAAACTAGTCTAATATGTCTTTAGTTATTAAGTGAATCAGTTAATACAGCTGGTAGGTGGTGTTTCCTTTCAAAAATAACATATAAGTTAACGCTTCACATTAACGCTACAAGAACTGTTAAATAGGTGTGGTGCGTATGTGTATGTGCCCTTAAATTACGCTGTTCAAATGAAAAAGTTAATATCATTATAAGTCAAAGGACGATAATGATATTGTTATTGCCCTTAGCGTTGGCTCTTGCATAATTCAATGAGTGTAATTTGTGCTAATTTGCATCAAGGACTTGTTAATGTTCACGTGAATCTACCTTGATACAGGTATATGTATACATGTCGTATACGTATTTAGGTACAGGCATATCTATATATATATATATATGTATATATAATTTTTTCGCATTGGCACGCAGAGCCTGTCAGGCGTAGCAGCACCTTGAACCAATTTAATATTGTTATAGCTCGGTTCGACTTTGAAATGGTAAATAGTTACATTGGCCATTGCATTTGAAGGTCTTGTAAGCCATAATATCTACTAAAAAGAAGGTTAAAAATGATTTCATATGCAATATATTTATATAACATCATACGTATTTAAATCTTGTTTTAGAATGAGTCCTAGAAATATTATTATCCTCAGTCATATTCCCTCTTCGGCTACAGCTCGCGCACACAACAAGATGTCCCATCCGAATTCGATCCTTTCACTGTTGCTTTGCCTTGGCCTGTGTTTGGGTCACGTTCAGTCCCGAACTGCCAAGCGATCCGACGTTTACATAGCGGGCTTCTTTCCCTATGGCGATGGCGTTGAGAACTCGTACACTGGACGTGGAGTTATGCCTAGCGTGAAGCTGGCGCTGGGTCATGTCAATGAGCATCCACAGATATTGACCAACTACAGGCTGCACATGTGGTGGAATGATACACAGGTGGGATTTGCTTAAACGAATATAAAAAATAAATAAATATATATATATATATATATATATATATATATATATGTACTTCCGTTTCTAGTGTAATGCTGCAGTAGGCGTGAAGTCCTTTTTCGACATGATGCACTCGGGTCCCAATAAGGTGATGCTCTTTGGTGCCGCCTGCACGCACGTCACTGATCCCATAGCCAAGGCCAGCAAGCACTGGCACTTAACGCAGCTGAGCTATGCGGACACACATCCCATGTTCACGAAGGACGCGTTTCCTAACTTTTTCCGCGTAGTACCCTCTGAGAATGCATTTAACGCTCCACGTCTTGCGCTACTCAAGGAGTTCAACTGGACGAGAGTGGGCACCGTCTACCAGAACGAACCACGATATTCTCTGCCGCACAATCATATGGTAGCAGATCTGGACTCCATGGAGCTGGAGGTGGTGGAGACTCAAAGCTTTGTTAACGATGTGGCCGAATCTCTGAAGAAGTTGCGCGAAAAAGACGTGCGCATCATTCTGGGCAATTTTAATGAGCATTTTGCACGCAAAGCTTTTTGCGAGGCCTTCAAGTAAGTGGCTTTAAAAAGTTTTGCAAAATTGAGTGGCTTTAGTAATACCTCGTTCAGGTTACAAATGTATGGACGCGCCTATCAATGGCTGATTATGGCCACCTACACTACGGATTGGTGGAATGTGACGCTGGACAGCGAATGCACAGACAAGGAGATAGCCACTGCCTTAGAAGGCGCCATATTGGTGGATCTGCTGCCGCTCTCAACCAGCGGCGACATTACTGTAGCAGGCATTGTAAGGGACCCAATCGTTGTCCTTCATCATCCATGAACTCACATTTGTTTTGCAGACGGCAGATGAGTATCTGGTGGAATATGATCGATTACGCGGCACAGAATATTCGCGATTCCATGGCTACACGTATGACGGTATCTGGGCAGCCGCCTTGGCAATACAGTATGTGGCGGAGAAACGTGAGGATCTGCTGACACATTTCGACTATCGTGTCAAGGACTGGGAGAGTATATTTCTGGAAGCATTGCGTAATACTTCCTTTGAGGGCGTAACGGTGAGTATAAGTCTAGCCATCAATGTTTAACTCATTCATTAGTTCATTTATATCATTCAACTAGGGTCCTGTACGCTTCTATAACAACGAACGCAAGGCCAACATTTTAATCACTCAATTTCAATTGGGACAAATGGAAAAGATTGGTGAATATCATTCACAGCAAGCACATTTGGACATGACACTGGGCAAGCCAGTGCGTTGGGTGGGTAAAACGCCGCCCAAGGATCGCACCCTAATCTACATAGAACACAGCCAGGTTAACCCCACCATATATATTGTGTCAGCCAGCGCCTCTGTCATTGGCGTGATCATAGCCACCGTTTTCTTAGCCTTTAATATCAAGTACCGCAATCAACGGTAAGCTCTTAAGCAGCCATATCTATTCCAGCTTACCTAACCAAGTATGTGTCGCCTTGCAGCTACATCAAAATGTCTAGTCCACATTTGAACAATCTGATTATCATTGGCTGCATGCTAACCTACCTGAGCATTATATTTCTGGGCCTGGATACTACGCTGAGCAGCGTGGCAGCTTTTCCCTATATATGCACGGCTCGTGCCTGGATCCTAATGGCTGGTTTTAGTTTGGCCTTCGGAGCAATGTTCTCAAAAACTTGGCGAGTGCATTCGATTTTCACCGACTTGAAGCTGAATAAGAAAGTAATCAAGGACTATCAGCTGTTTATGGTTGTGGGCGTGCTGCTGGCCATTGATATAGCGATCATAACCACCTGGCAGATAGCTGATCCCTTTTATCGCGAGACCAAGCAACTAGAGCCAAAAGTGAGGAATACACGATACGATACGAAGGAATTTTTGAAATTAATACCAAGCTATATTTACAGCATCACGAGAACATTGATGATGTGCTAGTCATACCCGAGAACGAGTACTGCCAGTCGGAGCATATGACGATATTTGTTAGCATCATCTATGCATATAAGGGCTTGCTCTTGGTAACCAAATGGAGACAGAATTGTTAAATGTCGTCGGTTTTATTTGAATCATTTCCTACCCTCTCAGGTTTTTGGCGCCTTCTTGGCCTGGGAAACCCGGCATGTCTCCATACCAGCTCTAAATGACTCCAAACATATTGGTTTCTCCGTTTATAATGTGTTCATTACTTGCATTGCCGGCGCGGCAATATCGCTTGTTTTATCGGATCGCAAGGATTTAGTTTTTGTCTTACTCTCGTTTTTTATCATTTTTTGTACGACAGCCACTTTGTGTTTGGTGTTCGTACCGAAAGTAAGACTGGTAGTAAGGAAGTTTTGTAGTTTTTGTAGCTGTTATACACATAATCGTATATTACTTATATACAAGAGAAGCGAACGAGTACATACGTATTATGTTGAATGTTGTTTAATATTGTTCGTTTGATCATTTCGAATGCCATCGTCAATAGAAAGGAAGGCATTTCAAATGATCAGCATTTCATTTAGCGCTGCTCTTTACGCACTAAATTCTTAACTCTGCTAATGCTACATAACACTACATACTAACTTTTAAAAGCTATATACTATCTTTATACTTAACTATATGTATCAGCAACGTCAAAGACTCTTGTCTACAGTTGAATATCAAAATCTTTTGACATTTCTGATATGCTGTCCTTTAAGTCTAGTTTCCCTTGAGAACTTACTTACCTTGCTGTGTACGGGGTACTCCGGCAGTTAGCTTATTTAAGTATTGGTTCATCGAATTGCAGCTCGTCGAACTTAAACGCAATCCTCAGGGCGTTGTGGACAAGCGAGTGCGCGCTACTCTACGCCCTATGTCCAAGAATCGACGCGATTCCTCGGTCTGTGAGCTAGAGCAGCGGCTGCGCGATGTGAAGAACACCAATTGTCGCTTCCGCAAGGCTCTGATGGAGAAGGAGAACGAACTGCAGGCTCTAATACGCAAACTGGGTCCGGAGGCGCGCAAGTGGATCGATGGAGTCACCTGTACAGGTGCAGCTACGGATCTGGAGCCCATATTAAGCGACGATATGGCTAAGTTATCAGCCCCACCTGTGCGTCGCGAGATGCCCAGCACTACAGGTGAGTGAACATTTCGCTGCCTAGACAAATTCATGCATTGCTCACCTCTTGCACCTAGAAGTTACCGAGCTGACATCCGTGGATAGCATCACCTCCACACACGTTGAAATTGACAACTCCTTTGTTTCAGTGCAGTCCACAACTCTGGCGCCCTCCTTACCGCCGTAAGTCCAAATATTCCTCATCTATGCAAATATTTAATCTGTTGACTCAATAGCAAAAAGAAGAAACAGTCAATTGTGGAGCAACCTTCAAGTGCTATGATGCAACCCATTCAGCAACAGCTACAGCAACATCTTCAGAAACAGCAGCAAATGCAGCAGCAGCAACTACAGCAACAACAACAACAACAGCAACAACAACAACAACAGCAACAACAACAACAACAACAGCAACAACAACAACAACAACTACATCAGCACCATCGACATTTGGAGAAACGCAATTCGGTTTCGGCTCAGACAGATGCCAATATTGGTAGCGTAACCAGCAGCAGCTCCACTAAACGCTCTACTGGCGACTGCAGCGCAATGAGAGATCGCCGCCAGTCAACAGCATCCAGGCACTATGAAAGTGGTAGCCAAACGCCAACGACCAAGCCAAAGTATAGCAGCACACATCGCAATTCCTCCACAAATATATCCACCTCGCAATCGGAGCTGAGTAACGTTTGTCCGCACAGCAAGCCCGGCACACCGGGCGTAATTAAAAGTAAATACTTATCTTATTTTATACTCATGTTTATTGAAACGAAAACATTATTTAATTTTCCTTGCTTACACAGCTCCCACTGCCTCGGACCATCGTCGCACCAGCATGGGGTCGGCGCTCAAGTCAAACTTCGTTGTCTCCCAGAGTGATCTTTGGGACACGCACACGCTCTCCCACGCCAAGCAACATTCGCGCCAGTCGCAGCGTACCTATGCCAGCCCACAGCGTTGTTCGGAACATCATGGTCACGTGATGACCTATGAGCAAAACACAACCTCACCCATTCAGCGCTCCGTCTCGGAAAAGAATCGTAACAAGCATCGCCCCAAGCCACAGAAGGGTACAGTCTGCCAGAGTGAGACGGACAGCGAGCGGGAGCGGGAGCCGACGCCCACAAGCGTGCAGCAATGTACACAGACACGCAAATTCAATCGAAATGCGAACATTCAACATGCGGCGCATCATCACAGCTCACCGAACGTGGCACCTGAGAAGCAAAGGAAGCAGCGCAACCGAACCGAACATTCAATCTATGGTGCCAGCTCCGAAACAGAGCTCATAGAGGGAGAAACAGCCATACTACCTATATTCCGGAAGCTACTCACTGAGAAGAGTCCCAATTATCGCGGCCGTAGTGTTGTTGGACAGAGCTGTCCAAATATATCCATCAAGTGCGATATCGTTGAATACTTGTAGACAATGATGACAATGCTGCATTTAAACCACAAAAATTGTGAGCAGTTTTTAGCCCCTAGGTCAGAATTCCTTATACTCTACACGTTACTCTTACTAATGTGTAGAGATACACAATTTCATAAATTGCTAGCACAAATATTATTGAGAAACATAGTTGAAAATTAAATCATAACTAATATAAGTAAATTTGCAATTCTTGTTTCTCTCTTAATATAATATATGGGGGCGTATTGAAAGACATATTTCTGAATGAATTGTTTTACAGGTAACATTTATTAAATCACTTCAACACATTTTATAAGTTCAATGAAGGAAGTACAAGGTTTTCAGTTGTAGTTAAGTACAATACGTCATGATTTTGTTTTACTAGCTCTCATGGTCTGTATAAACATAGAATTTGAATTAATTAATTTGTCACCTTCTGTATCACAGTTACATGGTTATTACAAACGTGAGTGTGTTGTGCGTGTTGTGTGTCTGTGTGTTTTGAACAATTACGACTAAATAGGATAGACAACACATATGGTACGTCAAAGTACATTATATATATAGATGCTTGTTTGTAATGTATATAACTCTACCATATATGGTAATTACATATACATTCATACACACTATAATGCCGGCATCAACATAGTTGGCCCGCTTTAACAGCTAATAAAAATTCAGAGTATAAATATTTTTGATTACAGTTAAATACGTAAGTACATAAACGATTACGCGGACGCGCTCTGCTTTTACTTTTCCATTAAGTGTTTCACTAAAAACTAATAATACCGACATCATGCAGTCGTACAGTTATGGACGTACCCAGTACTCTCCGCTAATTGCTTCAGTTTACAAATTTTTGAGCTCCCTTGGCTCAGGTGAGCGCCAAACGTTACAACTAAGTAAAAAAGCGCATTGCAACTGTTTGAAGTCTTTTTGAAATAGCACACTAAATAGTAATTCAAATAGCCAATTAGTTTGCGAAAATGTCTGTTCAAGCATAAGTACAAATCATTGTGATTCTCTCATTTTCTCCGTATAAATCATTGTGATTTTAACGCATTCTTCATCAACTACAGTAGTATATTAACAAAGTAAAAAAGGTGGCAAACATTTGCGCAAACCGCTAGTCTCTTTGAATTATGCTTAATACTAACAAAGTAGTTGCACATACGACTTTATATATACATATAAATATATATATATATATAGCTGTGGTATATCAATACAGAACACCAACGTGAACGCCATGTGTCCACATGTATTAACACATATACATAATAATTGTATATATTTTCTGTTTTAGCTTTTCTAATGCATAAACTTTTTCAAAATGCATATGCTTGCACCTACTTGGCGAAGGCATCAAGAAAAATATCTTGAAAATTAATGATTCCTTCTGATACTTTGCACTAGTGCGGCGTTTGAAATGAGTGTTCGAAGTCCACAGGCACCGAAAGCGGCGCATGCCCACTTTCTGTGCCTGAAATTGTTTTAATCTGATTGCTGGAATTTAAGGATTCCAGTTCATGTGTTTCCGAATTGGCCATTTCAACAATGGCTGAGCTGGTGGGTGTTAGCAGTTGTTCAGTAGCAATTATTCGACTGGGTTTACTATAAAAGATTACAAGCACAAAGTAGAAACAATAAGCACATTCATTTATTTACACTTACCGTTCATAAAATTTGTTAGCTTTTGCTGTGCGACGCTTGCGTAATGAAGGCCAACCCAGCTGCATGAAACCGTACTGCGGTCCTGCTACCTTGAGCAGACTCATCAAAAAGAAGGTGGCATAGAACCAACTGGTGACCATGACTACAACCAAAAATACACCAATTTGTATGTAGGGTAATATATTCGATGCCATCATAATGCCACCGGCAAAACCAGTAGTAGCCGCTGCCATCACCGTTGGCCCGATGATGCGCGACAACACAAACTGTGTGGCTGCATTGCGCTCCTTAGAGGGCGAGAGACGATAGTGTATCCCGTAATGTAGACTAAAATCCACAGCCAATCCAATTGCAGTCGATACGGCAATGCTTTCCAGTATGTTAAGCTGCCAGCCAAGTAAAATAAGTACAGCCACAGTATTGAAAATGGTCAGCGAGACAGTTACGACAGCGTAAATGGAAATGATTATATTGAGTGTGAAACATAGCAGGACCACAAGAGAAGCGCCCATGGCCAGTATAATAGAAGTGATCGTGTCATGCGAAAGAGTGTCTTGCACATTGTAAAATTTAAGATCACTAATAAACCAGCCGCCACGTAATTCTGTGGGAGCCGTGCTGAGCTGCTGCTGAAACCAATTTTCGACTGTCTCATAAAACAACTTGATGTTCGAATAGAGGGTGCTGTATCCCGTGTTCGAATCGAACTCAATGATTATCGCCTTGACGAGCAGTTGGGCAGATGTAGTCTCGATGCTTAAACTCTCGTTACTGTTGCTCTCAATGTACTCATCTGATCGACTGGGCGCAGCAGCAAATTTAGGACCAGCTTTTCCGTGCTGGTAAAATCTGGTTTCGCATAGATTGGAAATGCATTGGGGCAAACACTGCTCAAATATGTGCGGCTCATAGGGAAACTGTGCGTTGCAGCAGGGTGTTCGATCCAATCCCATTGTATCCATGTCATCAATGCATCTGCGAATTATAAGACTTAATAGGGCTCTTAGTTATTATTAAGGAAAAATTACTTACCTACGCTCCATGTATCTTATGAAGTTTTCAATAAAGCAATTCGGCAGCAAAAAACCAAAGGTGGCCTGATAAAATGGCTGCTGACGAATGTTTATGCAAAAGTTTCTCAGCCAAATCTGTGCCGGTTTGCTAGATATATTAAAATTATTGTCATAGTGTAAGTTGCCGTATGAATTTGGGTTCGTATAGTCGCCATCGTCCAGCGCTTGCACGCCCCAAACGAAGCGCATGCTCATGTTGAAGTTTTCCACTCCTTGTAGAGGCTTCTCAAACCAAAACAGATGCTTCAGCTTTGCATAAACCTCAAATGGATGGTGTGAAACAAATAACTGGAAATTGGGTTTTTGTGGTAGCTGCAGGCCCGGATACCAGAACACAATGATGGCACTTGAAGCCCCCAGCACGGTAAAGATAAAAATCCATACATATGCGTAGTTCATAATGCTCTGAGTAATGCGCTCTTCAAACAATTCGCAAAATCGATTAATTGACTTCTTACAGGCGTTGAGCAATTTTTGTGACAAATGTTGCTGGCAGCACATACGGCTAGCAAACAGGCGTTCCATAATCGAAACCGATGCTGGCAGCCAGGTTATCATAAGCAAATAGTTGGTAACTACAACAGTGCCCGCAAATATTCTACAAAATTAAGTCTATTAACAATGAAGTTTAATGTAAGCAAAACAGCACTTACCCAAAGCATTTAATTGCCGTTATGGAGCTACTGTAGGAAGCATAAAACGCTCCAGCAGTGGTTACAGAGGTTACAAACATAGACGCTGCCGCATGTCGCATGGTCAGCGCCATTAGATTCTCCAATGTCTCCGTATGCTCATTGTGCTCTAAAGGCGTGGGTAATGTTGATTGTGTGTTTAATGTACTGCACTTGCTGAAACGCTCGGCCAACACACATTGCCAGATTTTGAGGAACAAGAACACATCATCAGCACCAATGCCAATGATAACCACAACGGCTAGCAGATTCATGTATGGAAAGAAGGTAAACTCAAAAACCACTGTGTAGGCAAAGTATGCCAATCCCAACGAGAAACAAATGGCAAAACATGACATCAATGTTATAAAGGCCGACCCTGTATATAACCAAACACAGGCCATAACGAAGAGTCCACCCAGAGATACAAGCCAAACGTCTGTAAACAACAACTCGCTGAATAGCTCATTTTCCAAACCCAAATCCATAGCAACAACTTCCACCAATTCATTGCTTAGAGATCTGTAAAAAGAGTCGTATTAGATATTATTAGCATACAATTTAACATCATATAGTATTAGAAATAACTGTTAAACATAATGTTTGGCTTATGTGCTCAAAACATTCACACACTTTATCTCGTCAGAACAAACTTGATTTACAAATTAGAAAATTAAATTTATCATTGACGCCTATATATAAGTTGATTTAATAAAATGGCTGCTACCACCGAACAACACAACAGCCGTTTGACTGAAATGAACGTGAAGACTCTGCTGCCCACATGTTTTAAGAAAAAGACAGTCACCAAAGCAGATTTTGTAAATCACATGCATGATGGTCGCATATACAAGCCAAACAAGATATTTAAATATCAAACCGATCCCGCATTGATCACTGGTCATTATGTGAATAATCTAAAGGTCAACAATTTAGAGATGAAGACGCGCACATGGCCGTATGCCATGGACTGGCGAGAGGAGTATCGCCAATTTTTGAAGCGCACCAAGTGGTGTAACGAGCATATCTATAAGCTATTCTTTGAGTGTCCACCAGTTCGCTATGACCAGATTGAGGATTTTCTAATTGATTTGCGGAAAACTGTTTATGGCTCGGATTATTCGCCAAACGATTATGCATCACTGTTCAGCCAAAAAACTATAAAAGCCGATATTACCGATCCTAAATGCGATTCCAAGGATATCCAGACTACCTATGGCAATTATTATAATCGCCTCGAAGAACTGAACAAAGATGGCAAATTGTATCAGGGACGGCCACCCAAGGATATGAGCATAGAGGTGTTTGCTCAAAATATGCGCAAGCTCTTCCGCAAATACGATCTAACTACATACTTTGAGGAAATCTGCCTTCCCGCATTGATAAGCGCTAAGGATGGTAAAATGCCGACTGGACCTATTGATCGCTACACATTGCGTAAATATTAAAAATAAATTTGACGAGTTTAGTTTCAACTTACACGTGTTGCCATTCATGGAAGAGCGGAAGGATACGATTGGAGCGTGTAACAGGCACAAAAATCATTGCGTATTTTAAATAAACAGTTGTTTCCTGTAAATATTAAAAGATTGTTAATCTAAGAAATATTTAATTGTTGTAGATCACTCACATTTGGCTTAATGAAGCTATAATCGCTGAGAAAGTTGAGCACATTAAATACCAAATTATTGCGCGTGCATTCCTCCGGCGCATAGCACCGATTCAATTCGTTACAATTAATGCCTAGTTTAAGTAAATGATAATACTCATAGCAACTGAGCAGCAGGGATTGCAGTAGTGAAATATCCTCTGCGGTCAGATCAAAACACGAACTCTTATTGGCCAGCAGTGTGGCGTAATTGGGCAGTGACCAAGGCCGGCAGCAATTGTTTGTTAGCATTTCAGGTTCACAGAATGCCTGATAACTTTGCACAGCACCAATTTGTTCTTGCAGCTGGCACATAGCTAACATCCCGTTTATATCAAATAATGAGTCTGTAGCATTCGGACCAATACGTTTCACTACAAAGTGTGAGTATGCTTTGTGCGGTGAGGAATCACAAAAGAAGCCCTCAATGGGCTGGGGAGCTCTTGAGTTAGACCAACCGTCGTTGGGTAATGAGGCCTGCTTTAGCATACGCCATGTACTCTTCTTGGTTTGGATGCGCTCACGATGTTCATCCTCATCAACGAAAGTAGTATTGTGCCCATATTCAATTGGCTCGCTCTGTCTAGTTGGCTCCAGCAAAGAGGGGCTGCTATCGTTAGTCACCTCGAAATCCCGAAACACTCCACTATCACCCATCCATTTATCGTCTTCCGGACTTTTGGTTGCTTTTAGGCGCTTGTTGATGAGCATCATTTTGTATGTTACATCGTCGTGTTCGTTCTTTTTCTGCTGTTCTTTACGACGCTTATTTTTATCTTTTCGGCGTTGATTTTTATGCCGCCTGTGATTTGGATGCTGATGCCTTGGCACACCTCTTGTCTTTTCATATTGAATCTTTTGCAGGAGATCCGTAGGATTTGAGAATAAAATACCATTGCCGTCAATCTCTTGATTCAGATTATGCCAAGCAGTTAGTCGTTTTCCAATTTCAGTGCCTCGCGTCTCAAAGCCCTGCAATACATGTTTCGAGTAAAAGTATGAGCATGCGTAGAAATTGTTTATTGGGGTATGATTGATGAAATACGAACCAAGGTTGGGTCACTAAAATCTGGCAGGTCATTTAGTATGAATGCCACTATAATGCAGGCCACGCAATAAACGGCGATTGAGACAACCACCAGATATGGTCGACGTGCCAGTACATGATAATACCAGTTCATCTTTTCTGAGTCGAAGCACAGCATGCCGAGTAAAAGACAACCGCGTAAGCTCGACAATATTTACAAAATTGAAGCACTTATAGTATCTGCATCTTGTTTACTTTAGTGTCAGTTACAGTTGCAACATGTGGAGTCTTAATTAACCTTGAGTTTATGGCGTGATGACGGATGTCTTAAGGGTAGTCCTATTGTTGTTGTTTATGTTATAGATACTGTCTGGGTATGCATTGAAAAATTTCAATTTATTTGTGGGTCTAAGCAAGATTTTGTTAGACGAAAGTGCAGTTGGTTTTTTAACATTTTCTTAAACGCCCGCGAAATAAATCCCTGGCTGAGAAATTAAATTGAAATTAATAAAAGAATGCGAATGCAAAAAATGCGCAAAACACAAGCAAAATGCACTAGAGATGTAATAAACATAGATTGTCCTTTTGGAAACAAGTATCGCTTCTAGCGTAATAGTATTATTTATCGAACTATCGATGTATTTATGCATATATATAAATGATCATTTTAGCATTTGTTTACAAAGCACAGAATTTTTAAATTTTCCAATTAGTTGTGTTATTTATGTAGCAATTTTGAAACATCCATGCACTGCAATTGTCAAACACATACTGAAGCTTGGATAGATCAAATTAAATCATGCGTTGAGTCAGGATATTTATAAGCTGTGAATATAAACAAATAACCAACGTAAACAATACGAGAGAGTGATTATATGTATACATGCATACATACATGTATATATATATATATATGAATATATATATATATATATATATATATATATATATATATATATATATATATATCTAAAATCAATCGTAAACATCTGTTGTACATTTAATTTAATGGCTCTTACTTAAATTGCTTACAACAGATGTTTTAGATTGACAAAAATTATTTAAAGTGCAAAACTAACTATATAAGACCCGCGTAAGTTTTGTTAAAGCAGATATTTAAATTCATTTAACGGAGCAATCAAATGAACTAATTGAACTTATTCATAAAACCGATAACACTAGTTCGATTAACCTGATAGCTCATTGTCACAGCTGACTGTAAAAAATTTTAAATAGACAAACAAAAATTGTAATTATAGCCAATATGCGCCGCCGTGTGGGTTTGGGTGCCATACAGCAGCAAAAGTTGGCTGCTGAAAAATATAAAGATAAAGGAGCCGATTTGCAAGAATCCCAATTGGAGCAAATGACAAAACAAATGGAAGTGTTTCGCATAAAGCTTGAGGAATTTGCCATGAAGCACAAAGATGATATTCGAAAAAACTCGCAGTTCCGTAAACAGTTTCAGGAAATGTGCGCTGCCATTGGAGTAGATCCCCTGGCAAGTGGGAAAGGATTCTGGAGTGTGCTTGGCATGGGAGATTTCTATTACGAGCTAAGTGTGCAGGTTGTGGAAGTATGCCTTGCAGCCAATCACAAAACGGGAGGTCTAATGGAATTGGACGAACTACGTCGTCGTCTTATAGCCGCACGTGGTCAAAGTGCGCTCCATCAGGAAATTACCAAGGAAGATATACTGATGGCTACAAAAAAACTGACCATTTTTGGCAATGGGTATAATATTTAATGGCACTAGATCTATTCATCTAACTTTTTCATTTACAGTTTTGTTGTTCATAAGCTGGGAAAAGGCAGATATATTGTTCAATCCATTCCGGGCGAGCTAAGCATGGAGGAGACCAACATTCTTAGCGCAGCATCCAATACGGAAACAGGTCGCATTACCAAAAATCAACTTATTAAAGACTTGGGGTAAGATGCCTTAAGGATGAGTTTACAAAGATAACATAATTTTGTATACAGTTGGACCGAGTACCGTACAATACAAGCGTTGGAAAAAGTATTGGGTGAAGGCCTTTGCTGGATAGATAAGCAATCGGAGGATGAACCGAGTTTTTGGTTTCCCAGTTTGTTTCCGGGTCGCAACGCACAGATGGTTGATGCATAGCTTGTACACAGATTTATTTAAAACTATTTAACAAGTATGTACATATATGACTATAAATTATAAAGTTAAAAAATATATAACCAAGTGCATGATGCTAAGAAGAAAGCTTTCCTATCCCATCTCCGACAGCTCCACTCTTGAACATGTCGTTGTCGGCCTGCAGTTCACACTTTTCCCTTTGTAAGTTCTCGATAACGGCTTTAAATTTATTTGTTAAATCTTGCAAAAGTTCTTTATAATGTGATTTGAGTTCTTTGTATGAGTGCAGATAGTTCTCCATTTGAGACTCGTAGTCTTTTTTGCTGCAAACGAACGAAAGTTATAAAAATTTTTATCTCCCAGTGATATTTTTTGTAATATTGCTCACGATTGTAAATTATGTGTTTCATCGTGAAAGGTACACTGCTCCAGTTCTATTAGACGCTTGTTACAAGACTGAACTTGCATCTCCAACATCTCGTTCTGCTTTAAAGCTTCTTTGTATTTGAGACTTAAACGATTGCTTCGAGATTCCAATATGTCTATTGCCGACTTGTGCTGAGTAATTTAATTTTTTAGCTGTATTTTAGAACCATTATTTCTTAACGAAATTTAACTTACCTTTTCACGTATCGAGGCAATAATTTTGTCCTTCTCTGCAAGCTTTGTTTTGAGTTGTGTGACTTCGTTGTCTACCCGATTGGCAGCTTCATCCATGATGCTGCCGATGTTAAAGGCTAGATTGCGGGCCTCTTCCTTGTAAGATTCAGCACGTTTCTCCGCTTCATCTTTTTCATGGACAGCCGCCTCACTAATAGTGATCGCATCTTGAACTTTTCGCATTGCCTCGACCTCGCGCTTCTTACTCTCCTCAAGCAACGTGCGTGTTTGCAGCAATGATTTCTCAAACTCTCTAAGCTTTTTTTGTAGACTAGTGACTTTTGTTTGATTGTCTTCCCGTATGTCTACATGATGAAGGCGGTCCTTTAATTGACATTGCAACTGGTCGATCTGCTCACCGCAACGCTGTTTGTGTTCGTGCAGAACCTTAATAAGTTTAGCCTGTGTACGCAGTTCCTCCTGCTGCCCACTCAACCTGGTCTCCAGCATTTTAATAGTTTTAGTATACGTTTGCGCCATCTAAACTTTAAATTTGGTATTATAGACAGAGTCAAAGCTTCTTTTATCTGAAACCAAACTGACCTCGTCAATCCCTCCTGGAGAAAGCTGTGCGCGGTAACTCTCGAGTTCCGTCTCCATGTTCTTGATGGTGCGCTGTGAGCATTCCTGCAATGTGTGTAAACAATGTTTCTCCTTTTTCAACGCCTCAATCTGAGCTATGGCGTTGGACAATGCATTGTTCGTAATATGCAAGCGCTCCTGTAGTTTCTCTTTGCTGCTGGAAAACACAACTTTCTTATACTTGCCCAGTTCGCCTGTCAATTGTCGATTCTCGTTTAATACGGCGCTTATGAGCGATCGCAGATCTGATTGCTCCACTCGAAAATTTTTCAAATCCTCATTCGTTTCCTTTATAAGTTGCTCCACGCCCAAGGCTACATCGCCGGCCCCGCTGCTAGAACGTAGTGCAAAATTAAATTTTATTGTGCCGTATAAATCTTATGTGCTCTTTATTTGTAATGCTTACTCCCTTACCTTGGAAACTCAGAGTGTGAAGCCTCCTGCGACATTCTAAATTAAAAACAATGTTTCCAAGTCCCAACTACGAATTTTACATTAATTAATTGTTCCATGCAGCTGTCTCTACTGTCACTTTTTGACAGCTCCCGACGACTCAAAACCCTGTCGAAGTTGCCATGGCAACGACTTGTGGCAAAGCGCAAACAGTAAATTGGTCAAGAGCTTGTAAATAATTTGGGTAGTTGTTCTTTGTGATGCCGCTCTTCAACAAGAAATTCGAATCTAAGCCGATACCAGCGCGCGTGAATCGCTGCAATATTGGTTTTCCAATTGTGAACGAGGATATTGAAGACTTTCGCAACATCTCATTGAGTTTAGGTAACAAGAAGTTGCGTTTTGCCGATGGCATTTGGATGCATTCAACGCACAAAGCTGATGTGGATGACATGCTACGCTTAAATAAGAAATTCCGTGCTCTAGAGGAGGAGAATAATATGTGTAATTTGAAAATAGAAGTTATGTTGGATTTGCTAGCTGAACATGCCACAGAGCTGAATGACCTGAAGCCAAAGGAGAAATGTAAGCACAAGGAACTAATACAAAGACCAATATAACATATCACATTTATTTTATAGAGCTAACCAACAAGCTGTCCATATCTAGTTTTGAAAGTCTAATTGTAATGAAAAGTGAAAGAAAAACTATAAAAAGTTCAATAAACTCGTACTACCGGATTTTAGGTCTCCTTTGGATTATTTAAATACTCAATTGGGTTCGTTAAGTTCTCTTATCACAATGCATATGTGTTTGTATTATTTAATCAGGTAGCTAAAGTTCTATCGATATAATACCCCAATCATTTCACATGCTCGTTGAAACTTATCAATTGGTAAAGTATTATGGAGAGCACCAAATGCAGCGCCGTAGTCGCCGTGTTGGCTTTGTTGACTAGCCCATTGGGAATTAATTTGGATTTGTTGGGCTAACGTTCGATGAATGGACGGACGGGTTGGTCAAATTGCTCACAATGTTGACGCCATTGGCAGCAATCTATAGACGACATCGGGTTGCCGTCAAGCTGCCGCTTGGCTCCCGCTCTTCATTATGCCACTGATAAGAATCAGAGAAAACGAGGGCCGACAGTAGACCGACAACTAACGGGGTTGATTGTCTCGAATTCACGATGGCAGTCAAAATAAACAAATGACTAGGGTGCGAGCCATTAGACGATCGCATAAAATTTACATGCTCTATCTATATTTATTCTTTCTCTTCCTCTCGCTCTCTCTCTGTCTGTCTTTCGCCCTCTCATGTCTCGCTCTTTTTACTAAATTTTGGAACGAGGCAAGCGATAAAGCTTACGGACGGAGCCTAATCATAGCCTTCCCATACATGATATGTACATAGCTGTGGCGATATCGGTACACTATATCGACTACTGTATATTTACGCATTTATATTGATAGGCGATAAGCGAAACTGCTTATAAAACACATTTATTTAGTTGTTCCCCAGCAAATGGTAAATGGTAACGACGGCGACAGCGACAACGACAACGGCGAGCAGCTCGCTTCCGAAGGGGGTAACACTTGTTCGATTCGTGTATTACAGTAGTTTGTTGATAGCCAGCCGATCGTACGGACGCACACATTACGATCCCAGAGATCGATGTGCCTACAATACCATACGAGTGCTATTTACCTAGTGAAAAACAACAGCAATAACAATTGCTGGAAATCGGAAAAAAACAACCAACCAAATCTATTCAAAAATAATACAAAAAAACACATGTACAATAAAATGTTTGCACGCTTTGGTTTTGGATGCGCGTCTCTTGCGAATATGGCAATGTTTTAGCTATGGGCCGCAATTGATTCCGTGATGTAGCATTAGGTAACAAAAGGCGCCTATATCAGCACAAATTGTCTGCTGGCTTGGCGCATTCATCAAATAAATATATATACGTATGTATATAAAAAGAAGAAAATACTGGCCATATCAGCAAGTTTCGAATTGACGTGCTTCTTGAAATGATTAAGAACTAAGTTACCAAACAGTCGATCGTCAAAGTCCGTCACGATCGTGTGGCCATTAGTTCTGGGCGCCTGTAACTGCGCGTAGTTTCAATTTTGTTTTGGTTTTTTTTTTTCAAAGTGCTTTGCTTGCCATAAACAAATTGTCTATCAAGCAATAGATATTTTGTTGTATGAAACGAGCTAATAAATGATACCATATAAATCAATTGAGTGAATGCCAATCAAATTGGGGCAACTGTGATAAATCTAACGCACAAATGGATCATGCGTCGAGCAGCTGCTATATAAACAGACAATCAATCGGTTTAGTCGGTTCGTTTAGACAAATCTGTTTTATTGGCATTTGGTGCATCGCATCGATCCACATACAAATTAGTTATTAAGCATGCTATATATATATCTTTTTTGAAATATTGCATCAAAATCTTTACTGACGTACATAAACTTTGAAATTCTGTTTTCCGGTTAAAGCTGGTTTTTCGAATAACTTTCACATTTTCCTTGTCTCAATTAGGGCCAACGTACAAACTTTTTCGATTCAAGTGTTTTTCATCATAGGCGAGCCTATTTAGTGGGTAGCGAATTGATAAATGGGCATTATCGCGTTTATGATTTATTGTTGTGTATAAATGGGGTCTCTGTCGCTATTATATGTGAGCCAAGGATTTGAATGTACATACATACCTAAGTGTGTGTGTGTGTGGGTGTTGGTGGGTGTTCGCCTGTACTCGCACTATTTGTATGTGGATCACCCGAATTAAATGGCCAAGTAAATAAACAAAAGCAAAATTGTACACTCAGCGAACGGCAGCGGCCAATGAAATGTGTGAAAAATGTGTGCGAGCAACACTGAGAAATGCAATGTCTAAATAAATAAATAAATATATACATATATATAAACCTGAACAGCATCGAATCGAGCACAAAATGTTTACTATAAAATTAAAAAAGCAAATCGAACATTTTGTTGTTAATGGCCAAACTTAATACGTTTAAGTGCTTCTATAATATGTTTTGATATATGTATAAAACCAATTCGGGCTTCTTTGACAAAGTATATCAGAAATGTTTTTTAAGTTTAAGTAATAAAAATGAATTAAATTTATTGCTGTTTATTGAAGGACCTTAATACTTTCTATAGAATGATAACTAACATTTGCAAAACCGTGTCGAAACTGTGCCAAAACAAATGCAAATAATATTGATGACAATTATAATGAAACACCTGCGGCTGCAACGCTTAGCCGCCACCTGTTTACTAATTGGATTATGTGGACTGTCCACGACGTTTGCGTACTTTATAGACTATACAGGTGGGTGTAAGCGCTTGCAAATAAATATTTTTCAAACTGAGTTCTTGAAGTGCCTGTAGATGCTAGGCGCACTTTACATAACATGCCAATTTTTCCAACAATTCTAGTTTATCATTTTTTTTTTCTGCTTTTGGCAAGACTTTTTGATAAGATATTTTGTGCATAATTAAACGAGCAATTTATGATTTCATTGCTGACTGAAGTTGTGCTCCTTGTCTGATTGCATATTTTGACAGAGAACACAGAGCTGATACAGCAACGTGCCGGCTACGACGTTCGGCTGCAGTGCAACTTGACGGGTCTGCTGGATGAACGCAGGCTGGCGGACATTAAGATACACTGGTACTTTAAGGTGAGCACGCCATATCCGGCAATGTCATGATATTCCCTACTAATAGTACTTCATGTAGCAATGCAGCGACAACAATTGCTACCAACTAGATTCTGGCGATGACTGGACTGCTCTGCCCTGTGAGTCGACACTCTGTCGCGCCGAGCTGTGGCTGCGCAATGTGACGGAGCGTTACTCCGGTCTGTACAAGTGCAGCATCAACCCACATGTATGGGATGCAACTCAAGCGGTGGACGTCCAACTTGTGCGCACATATCAGTTGGATGTTAAGAGTAAGTATTTCAACTAATTTAGTCCAGCCTTAGCTCACACATGCGTACTCTTTGCAGATAGTTCGCTGGCAGCACCGGAGTTCCTGGATGCCTATCCCAGCAATAAGACAGCCGTTGAGGATAGTCGAGTTGTTTTCCAGTGCCGTGTGCACAGCGAGGAGCATTTGACTATTAAATGGTTTCGACGGCATGGCTATGCAGCCTATGTGTCTGTCCCGGAAACGCCGCAGCCAACACCAGGCTCGACAAATTTTAGTGCTCATATTGTGCGCTACAATGGACGTACCTATGAATTGCTCTCCACATCCCCGGAGAAGCTCGTCAGTCCGCAGATCTACCTCAGCAAGCTGATCTTAAACAGCGTGAGGATTCGAGATGCTGGCTACTATGCATGTGTGGCAATTAGCTATCGCGGCCACAAAATCCGGGAAGCCTATCTCGAAGTTTTGCCGTCAGATGATGCTATGGAGTACTGGATGGACTACACCAACAGCGACGAGCTCGTCACTGATGATACAAGCGATCCACGAGAATTCCTGCTGCTGTTTCTCATGCCACTGGGCTTGGCGCTGCTGCCGCTGAGCGTTTGGGGCGGCTATATGATCTATAAGCGATGTTCGAAGCATAGCGAATGCGAACGCATGGAACAGCAATACTCCGACGAGGAGCTGGATACAGAACGTTATGTGCTCGGCGGCAGCTGACAATGTTGGAGGACATTGCATTGCGCATACGCCTACGAGATGTGGGAGCAAAGACTGTGCTTACACTTAAGCTATAATATTTACAATAAATTACGAGCTAGTTTCTATAAAACTATATTATTTTAAACGCACGTCTAGCACGTGTAGATCCTAGTGACACAATAATTAGTTCAAAATTCACAATTTTTATGAAATTCAAAATTATTTCTCGCCTTTCAGTGCCAGCGAATCGTCTCTCACAGCAATCAAGCCCACTGAGCGACTTTAAAGCTGATTTGAGAATTATCTATGGTCTAATGATCTTTGAAATTTATCTGCAGTTTTATTTGTTGCGGAATAACGCGGTGCGTACCTACTTTTTGCGTTTGTGGCTCAGCGTTGTCAACCAGGACGAGCCCATAGAGGCTGACGCTATCCAGGAGCTATTGTAATTAGAGATCTGTCATTTTGACTGCGCCGTTGGGCCGAGTTGCGGGCGGGACAAACTGCACGGGGGAGAGCAATACACATATATATACGAGAAGCCGACATTATGTCAAGACATTGTTATCGCACCACCACCCTGGAGTTTTACGAGTACTTGATGCCTGAAACTCGAGAATACCACTACGAAACTGTACCCTATCCGTTGCATATTGCTACTGCGGATAGCTATGGTGCTGTCAACTATCTGTCTAATTTGCAAGACCACTTGGCTATGTTTAGCGATAACAATCAACGTAGTGATGTTAACTACGACATTTTTCAGTCTACCCAACCACAGACCGTATTCGAGTTAAGTGAGCAGCAGGAGCCGGATACCACATACCAGTTGCGTAATTCCGTGCATGAGGATCAAACAACAAATATTGCCAAAGACAATGAATATGAGTCGAGGAGTGTGGACGACGTAGTCTCTGAACCTCAAACCACAAATAAGAAAGAACGGAAGAAAAATATCTACCGCACAAAACTTGGCTATTTTGTGGAGGAGCCCTCCAGTGAATCCGAGGACGACAAGGAGGCCACTACGTAGACTTTCCAGCTAATAATATTTATGAAGCAATGACAGGCTAGCCGGAACCCTTAAGCTACATATCTGATTAACAATAAATTTCGTTCATCGTTTCGGTCAAGTTACAGCCGTAACTTACATGTCGTAAAAGTCCGGATGCTGCTCATATGTATATATATATTTTTTTCTAACATATTATCTAACAAAAACCAAACACATATATATATTTTTTAATCTAGCCATTCACTGTTAATTCGTTTGTTAGAAGTAAACCTACTAAACCAAAAAAATATAAAAATCTTAAAAATAAAAACGCAATTTAATATTTTGTATAAGCTCAACAAGTTTGGAAGGTGGCGGTATCAATCCTAGTGGGTATTTGTATGATTGATCCAAATTTGATTATTAGCACATGTATGATACTCTCCCTCCCTTTTGCGCTTGCACAGTCAAAGTCACTCTCGCTCTCATTTGTCGGAATTGAATATGGTCTATCGCTCATTCTTCGCTGCTTTTGAATGTGTGTGGGAGTATCGTAGTCATACAAGTATTTCCTGCTGGGTACTTTTTTTCTACTCTCTCTCTCCCTATGGTGCTGCTCGCGTAGTTTGCTCTCAATCGAGTTGCTTCTGTGCTCGTAGCGGCCAAGCTGTCTACCACCGCTTGCTCAGTTGCCGCGTATTCTTCGCAGCTGTCGGACGTGCGGAAGAATATCGTCGCTTATGTGCTTAGAAGGAATAACAGTTTAAACAACAAATAAACAAATACTATTTATAGGTTGTGAAAATATAAAAGTGCTGTAGTGCAAACACCTATATGTATATATTAATAAACTGCAGCACAAACAAGAAACTATAAGAAAATTAATAGAAAATGTCGCCTTTCGACTGCAAATCTCGACGTGGCACCAAAATATCAGTCATTATACTGGGCAGTGCTTTATGTATTGTCATGATGGCTTTTTTTGTTTTCGGCGACAGCAACGACGAGCAGGGCTTGAAAAAGCTACGCATGATATCAATTGTGAGCATTAGCCAAACGTCCAATTAGAATGCGCATTTCAAGTTTGTCATTTGCATATGCAAATATGTATGTGTTTTGTTTGATTTCTACAGCTGTTTCGCCATGGTGCCAAGAATCCGAGCGGCTTCTACCCCAACGATCCGCATGCAGCGCACGACTGGCAGGAAGGCCTTGGTGCACTCACACAGGTAAGATATAATCACGCAAGTGAAACTCAATATTGTGGAAAGCTTTTAAGTGCATTTTCCGTCTTTGCAGAAGGGCAGCTTGCAGTCATACAAATTGGGACAAAATCTGCGCATGCGCTATTATCGCCTGTTGCCATCGAACAGCATATATACACAGCAGCAAGTGCATGTTCTAAGCTCCGCCGCGGAACGCTGTGTGGTGCGTCAAAGTCAAACAAAATTGTCTGATGATAAGAGAACTGTATGTCTTATCAGTTGGTAGTTGTCTTTTAGATGAGCGCTCAAAGCGTGTTGGCCGGCCTGATGCCGCCGCTGGATAACAACAATGTGTTGCCCATACCCTGGCAGCCGGTGGCCATAAACACCCTAGCCCGCAATGATGACATTGTAAGTTTTTAGCCTAGCAAATCTGCATATCAATTGACTGTTTTCTATTTTTACAGTTGCTGGCACAGAAAAAGCCCTGTATTAAATACGAGAGCATACTTCAGAAGTTATACAAAAACCCGCCACCTGAGCTAGAAAAGTTGAACGAGGAAAACAAGGCGCTATATAAGTTACTCACAAAGAACACGGGCAAGGTTATTAAATCATACTGCACATTTTTTCCAGCAACTCATTTTGTTAACCTTGTAGAACATCTCCAATGTGCTAGATGTGGAAATGTTGTATACCACATTAAAAACAGAAGAGGAAGTCAGCCTTGCCCTGCCTGATTGGACTGAGAATATATACCCGGAGGAAATGCGATCATTGGCTGAGCGCAGCTATGCTTTATTCACCGAAACGCATCTTATGAAGCGCATTAAAGGTGGTGCATTCCTCACTGAAATACTTAAAAAAATGCAAAACAAACGCAAAAAGAATTTGAATCCGGATCGTAAGATATTTCTGTATGCGGCCCATGATGTTACTCTTGTGAATGTTATGAACTCTATGGGAATTTTGGATCAGACATCTAAGTTGCCAGAGTATGCCTCAGCACTGGTTTTTGAGCTGCATCACAGCAAATCTTTCGCGGATGGAGATTTCGAAGTGAAGGTAAGCGCATCTGAAGATAACCCTGCTGCTATAGTGGTCTTAATTCTAATATATTTTCTATCTACACACAGTTGGTATACTATTTTAATAGTGAAGACAAATTCCCCAAGGAGCTGAGCATTCCTAATTGTGATCCACCCTGTTCGCTGAGTCAATTTGCAGCTTCGCTGGAGCCCCTTTTACTAGATAATTACGATGATACCTGTGAGAATCCCACAATTGACTGCAAGACTTAAAATATTTGTGTTTTGTTTTACCATTGTTAAAAATATTTCAAAACTTCGTCAGGGTTTTGTGTTATTGTTGAACATTAAACATTTGTAAAAATCCAGAAAAAAAGTGAAAAATTAATTCTTCTGACATTTTTTTTTAGTAAAATTCAAAATCTAGACCCTTTGTCTTCGGCATATAGAAAGTAAATAGGTACCTCCTCTACGTCGCTGACTCGAACCATTTCTTTATGGCTTATTAATCGAATAGCTGCAAGTCCATAGAACAGCATAGGGAGTCCTGCGACAAATACGAAGTAAGACACCTACAAATTCTTGTTTTTAAGGGCACTTACCCAAATTTATGACCTTAAGGAAACGAAAGAATTTGTCCTCCATCGAAAGATCCTGTACCTCACGCTTGCTGCAGTGGTACTTCATATACGGATAACAAGCTGTGCGCAGTATATGATAATTTGTGCCCGTATCGAGCGTCCAATTGAAGTGCGACATTCCACGCTGATCGTTTTTAACATCCTTAAACTTGATTCATGGTATTAGAGGATCTCTAAGCATTCGCTTGGTCTGTGCTCACTTTTACAAAATATGATGTCCAAAACGGTTCGTGGCATTGCTTTAAATAAGCGCTCAATACTTCAGATGCTCGAGGCTTCAGCAGAACTCGTGTAAGTTGCATTTTTCAACAAACGCAACTGTTTTATTGCATAAACAAAAAACCTTGCATATTTATCAATGCAAACAGCTGTTTCATTCGATTATTGTGCTGACGAACTTATCGATTCATCGATAAATACCACGTAGTACATGCGTTGTCCAGTACTTTACATTTTTTAATTTATGATACTATTTTCAGATCGCCGTTAAATGTGCCCGCATTTATTCGATATGTTTCGACTTCAATATTGCGAAATAATCCAATAGAAAACGTTAAAACTGAACATTTTAATATGTTACCAATACAAAATGAGCGTATGTTAAAATACGAGGCGGGATCTGAAGAGCGTATTCAAGTGAAAGCAGAACTATCGAAAATTCTTAATAAAATAGAGCCTATTCCTTTTGTAATAGGCGGCAAGGAAATTTTTAAGAAATGCGAGCTAGTTCAGATAGTACCTTACAATATAGAACATTTCGTTGCACGGTATGAATCCATAAGATAAATCCAAATAATTAAATATTTTAATCGCTTAACTTTAAATCATATAGTTACTCTCACGCCAATAGAGACTTAATAGAACAGGCTATTAGTGAGGCTATTGTTGCGCAACAAACATGGGATAAAACGTCGTTAAGGGAGCGCATGGCTATTTGGGAAAAAGCAGCTGATCTAATTGCTACGAAATATCGTTTAAAGATTGTGGCAGCAACTATGCTTGGCCAGGGAAAGACTCTCTGTCAGGCGGAAATGGATGTTGTTGAGCTGGTGGACTTCATGCGTATTAATCCTATTTTTTTACGTGATCTAGCCAATTATGAGCCAGCGAACGATCAACCCGAGACATGTCGCAATCATATGGTGTTACGCGGACTTTCTGGTTTTGTAGCCGCTATCAGTCCATTTAATTATACCAGCATCGCTGGCAACTTGGCGTACACACCGGCCTTAATGGGCAACGCTGTGGTCTGGAAGCCGTCGGACTCCGCAGTTTTGTCAAACTGGTATGTGTTCCAGGCAATGCGGGAGGCTGGTGTACCTGACGGCGTAGTTAACTTCGTCCCAGCTGAGCCCACAACTTTTGCCACGGCCGTAACTTCTAACCCTCAATTGGCGGGCGTTCACTTCACCGGGACATCTGCGGTTCTGAAATTGCTGTGGAAAATGGTTGGGCAGCGGATTGACACCTATAAGAACTATCCACGTTTGGTTGGCGATTGTGGTGGCAAAAACTTTCACTTTGTGCATCCCTCGGCAAATACAGAGGTTGTCGTAGCCTGTACTGTGCGAGCAGCGTTCGAATATGCCGGCCAGAAATGTTCGTCTTGCTCTATGCTGTACGTGCCCGAGTCTTTGTGGAAAAAGATCAAGACACCTCTGCTGAATATTACAAAACGGCTGTTTATCAGCGATGCAACTTACTGTGACTGTTTTTACTCGGCGCTCATTGATAGGAAAGCATATAATCGGCTTTTTACATATCTGAAGTACATACATAACAGCTCTGAATGTAAAATGTTAATTGGCGGAACTTGCTCCAAGGGACGCGGCTACTATGTTGATCCCACCATTGTACTGGTTGCAGATCTCGATAATTTTCTGTGCAGAGAAGAACTGTTAGGCCCCATACTTTGTGTCTATATCTATCAAGATGAAAACCTTTATAGAATCATGCACAAAATTACTGAAGTTAATCACGGTCTAACGGCCTCTGTCTTCGCCACGGACAATAACTTTATCAAAAGGGCATGCGAGATATTTAAGTGCAACGTGGGCAATCTTAACATAAACGATAAGTGTACTGGCCTAATGGTGGGTCAGCAACCATTTGGGGCTGGACAAATAACTGGAAGCAATGAAAAATTGGGTAGTCCACAATATTTGCTACGGTGGACGTCGCCACAGGTCATAAAAGAGTCATTAATTCCACACATCAACGTCTACTATCCATATATGGAGATTAGCGAAAATATTTCAAATTTAAGTAAAACAAAGCCAAATTTTGAGGAAAGTGAAGATTGCGAATTAAATAATCAATAAATTTCGAGTTCAATATAAAATGTTCACAGTTATTGTTAACTTCATAGGTAATTGGGCAGAGGGAAAGTATCTATGGGAGCTCTCTGCTCTCAATGTTCTCATCTGATATACTAAAATCACCTTGTTATGAACTAAATGTCTAGTTTCTAATACTTAAATATTTTGAAACCTAATGTCACTGATTACCAGATGCTCAACTTATATTCGAGGCACACACGAAGTTCGAGTTACAACTATATGCCTATTGCTGTTTCTTTCGATTCCAACCTCAGCCGGAGATGGCAAACTGGTGTTAGGTTCCCACCATGAGGCAACCAGATGGAGGCGAAACAACAAAGTAAATATACCTCGTCTCTACTCAGCATACAGGGTGCTATTGAAGGATGGTGTCGCCGGCAGTGATGCCAAGATTGACGTGGGTCACATAGCCAAACGAATAGCTATAGCTGGAGAGAATGACGAGAATTCTGCTGGTAACAAAATAATACCCCACAAGAAAAAAGCGAAAGCGAGCACTACAGAGAAGGCTTCAACTTTATTAAAAGGTCTAAGGGAAAAGGCAAAGGGAGTAAGTTCCATCGATTACTCCAACACAGCGAAGGGTAAATGCAAGGATGTGGAGGACGATAAGAGTGGCAAAGAGGAGTCAACAGCGGGTCATCCAGCCGTTCAGGGCATGGTTATACCCCAAAAGGATGAGTCCTTGAACACAAAAGGAGAAAAGCCGAAGAGCACCGGTACAGTCGCAATACCACAAAGTCACATTGATGAAATGGAGAATCGCATAGCGGAACTAAATAGAGTGTATCAAAGCTATGTGAATGTGTGGAAAAGACCAACAATAGAGTCCAAGGAATTGACTTTACTTGACCATAAGAATAAATTTCCGTCTCCAAATTATCGTTTAAGTGCACTAAACGCACTTGTCAACGTTGTCGAGACTCTCAAGCAGTCAAATCCGGTTGATGAAATAGTTAAAGCCATAAATAACGAAATGAACACAGAAAAAGAAACTCCCGTAGGCTCAATCAAATTAAATGTCCGAGATCAATTAGCGCCCGCTAGCCAAAGTAGGGAGAAAAACAAAAGGATAACCGATCGCTCCTCGAATGTTGTTAAGTTCCTGATTCCCAAAGTAACATCTGATATGAAAACTGGCGGTGTCTACGAAGAGTGCAAGAAGAAACTGAATGATATTTTGCAGGCACACACGAATACACACAGCTCCCTGAACGAAGCACAAAGGCTACCAGCTCATAGGTGCTCAGCCGAGGTAGCTAGTATGCTAGCCCAATGCCACTGCGATTCAGCGAAGCCCGTAGTCATGGCCGTCGATAGTGACGGACAGAAAGTTACTAAAGATGAAACTGCATGTTATTGTGAGGTCAAAAGACCTGCCAACTGGGCCATTGAAGGGTTAATGCCCTGCTATTGTGATGGCGTGAAGGGCGGCCATTTGGCTGAAGCGTTGACAGATGGGCAAGCAGGTAAGACCACTCTATACATGGAGGGGCAAGAGAAAGCTAGTCAGCAATCGAGTAAGGAGAACAACCTCAACGGCGGACTGAAGCCGTATTATTTATCGAACTCAAAGCACAGGCAGATGGTCTGGAATGATGTGCCACTGATGAGGCCTGGAATCTCACGGAAAGGTGATGCAGTTAAGCAGTATATAACGACTGTTCCTAAGGGTGGAGCTAACCAACCTTCAATTTGTGTGAAAAGTAGTCGGGAGAAGTTAAGAAATTTGACTGTGAATCAAAACAAGCTGCACCACATACTGAGATTCCTTCAGACTAAGCATCGTGCTATAGATGTAAGCAAAGCCAAGAAACGTGGCTTAAACGATGGCCTTGATGGCACGCCCACTGATTTGGCATTTCCGGAGGTGCTCGTTCAAAAATTAGGGCAGCCACAAGAGACGGCTGGTAGACTCATCGAGAATATGGCAAAGCAGTTAAATGTATCTCCTGTAGAGATGGCTCAGCGCATTGCTGCATCCAGTGGTGCGGTCAGTGGGCCATCAATTGCCACTGGCATGTATCCAGACCATTCCCACATAGGTAAGTAATTGTAAGACTAACCATGTACTTGTCTAACAAAGTTTTTTAAAAAGCAAGCCAGATCAACGGGTGGCATGTACCAACGATGGCATCAAATTTAAAGGCCCAACAGGCACAGGCACAAGGATTCGCGGGTGGGAATTTGGCGCCAATATTAGAAAAGATCCTTAGTCGACTACAGACCTTGCAAGAAGCCAGCTCTGACCAGGGATCAGGAAACAAGCTACCTTGCTGCTTTGCCGAGCCATCTGACGGTTAGCAAAGTACAAAGGCTTGAAATGCACAAATCTATTCCTTAAATTCTATTCGTATTAGGTGCGCCCTGTCAGTTAACAGGCTCCTGGGAGTCTGCATTGTTGGGCATACGTGTCAACATTAGAGACGATCTGAAAATCGTTGTGCCGAAGCTCAAGCCCACGTGTATGCAGCCCAAATTGCGTCGCTCGGATACCGATCGATTTTGGCGGCAGTGTGTGAAAATAACTCCAGCAGAAATCAGGGAACGCTTGAAGTCATCAACGTCTCCAGCTATGAATAAAGCACTTAATATAACCATAGAGGAGACGCTACCGCCACGTCAACACGAAATGCTGGAAAATCTAACTGAGTGGATATTCACGGGTCATACGATCAACACTTTAGGTGGGCCCATTTCGATCAATTGTCGGCATGTGTACAGCAGTTTGATTGGTACCTTTGTGGGTTTTTGTCGGAGATGTGGTTGCATTGACACCATATTCGGTAGTTGGACCTTCTGCCATCCATCACGAGATTGCCAAGATATAACAATGTCGATGTTCGAAAGACGGGACGTCTTACGTCGATATACGCTAGACGATGCTCGAAAGGAACGTTATAAAGAGCAGTTATATACAAAGCAAATATTCCAAAATAGGGAATAATCGATAGATAATCAAAAATCTAGACCAATATTTCTACAACTTCTATGTTATTTACATTTACATTTTGCTTTCTTTATTTTGTAGTCATTTATTTTGATATATAAGACGTTTTGCTAATGATCATTACAGCTGCTGTTTTTTGTGGCGATTGATGAAGGACATGGCATAACCAATGGAACGCTTAACACAGTGTTCGTCCATGTCATTTCCTGTTTTGCAGTCCCTCAGCTCGCCAACGACATAGTCCACAATTCTGCTTTTCAGCTGCTCGTTGTCCATACGTTCTAAACGCTTCTCAACTTTGTGTATGAGTAAATAGGCTTCCGGATAATCAGCCACATCACAGGGCCATATTTCAGAGTGTCTATGAGTCCAGCTGGGTCTGGCTTCATCGCTCGAAATGTAATCTTGCGATTGGCGCCAGGTGCCGGCCTGAGCCAGAGCTAATGTACACGCGAACAGTAGAAGGCAAGAGACACGCATTATGTGAAAATTAATAAAGTCGTAATTAAACTAGTGATTTAAGGTGCAGACACGGTAATTTATATGGTTATCAAGTGGCGACTATTTTGCTGGATTCGCGAATTTTCGTTTTGCTGAGGCTTTGCACTTTGGATGACCGCTTTTGTTTTTGCTAACATTTGCACTTCTTTCCTCTGTTACATTTTCAAAATAGAGCTTAGCGCGGAATTTTTTATACAATCGATAAGAACGTGGACTATCGACCGCAATACAGCTGTTTTACTGGCGTTACTCAACACTTAGAAATCAGGAACTTGACAACTTTACATGAAAAGAGTCCAACTAGAAGAAGTGGGAGTTGCAATTGCTTAATTAAAAACAAACAAATATAAATAATAGGTCTGTTTCGCCGGGAAATAAAGTGCAAATGCAAGCAAAATGGGTAATCAATTGGTTGGCATTGCACCATCGCAGATCTATGCAGTGGAACACTATTTTTCAGGGCAGTTTGGCAACGAAATCATTTTCGATCTGAAGTGAGTACATATTGAACAGCTGGTTATCTATTATGCATTAGTGTATAGGTATGATATGTGTCAATGTCGTCTTAACCACCCACAGTATGGGAAGTACTCGATTTTTTAAAGTTGCTAAAGCGAAAACCGATGAGGGGTTGATAGTTGTCAAGGTGTTTGTTAAACATGATCCAACATTACCATTGGAGGATCATAAGGAACGACTGGAGAGTATAAAAAAATCCTTAACGCTTGCCAATGCTGTCAACTGTTTGCCCTTCCAGCGAGTGGAGGTAAGTCCGTGAATAAAATGTTCAACCCAGGCGTTAATTCATTTTCTTCCCAGCTCATTGACAAGGCAGCCTATATTATGCGGGAGTATGTTAAGCATAGTCTATACGATCGTGTTTCCACACGACCTTTTCTTACTGTCTTGGAAAAGAAGTGGATAACATTCCAAATTTTGTGCGCTTTGAACCAGTGTCACAAGCAAAAAATCTGCCATGGCGACATAAAGCTGGAAAACATATTGATCACCTCTTGGAATAGGATTCTGCTGTCGGACTTTGCTTCATTCAAACCAACATATTTACCAGAGGATAATCCAGCAGATTATACATATTTCTTTGATACGAGTAGACGTCGTACTTGCTATATAGCTCCAGAGCGGTTTGTCAAGACTCTGAATTCTGAAGATGATCCATATAATGCAAATATGTCTGTCATTCATTCGGATTCTATAATTCCTGTTCCCACATCATACGCAGGCAGCACTCTGCAGCCCGCAATGGATATATTTTCCGCTGGGTAAGTTCATAATTTTAGTTGAGGAATTATATTATATATGTTTCTATTTGCAGCTGTGCCTTGCTAGAGCTATGGACAGAGGGCACTGCTCCATTTGAGCTATCACAATTGCTCGCCTACAGGCAGGGCGAAAGAGATCTTGTAGAGAAGCATTTGGCTGGCATTGAAAATGAGCGACTCCGTAATTTACTGGCCTCCATGATTGACATTAATTCTCTAAATAGGAAGAGCGCAGAGGACTATTTAGATCAGGAGCGCGATAAACTATTTCCGGAGTACTTTTACTCATTTCTGCAGTCATATTTGCAAATGTTCTCATCGACACCAATTATGTCACCTGATGATAAGATACAATGTTTGCACAAGGACATTGGACATTGCATTAAGGTGCTGACACAAGCACAGGACTTAACGCCTAGTGAGGAAGACAAAGAGAATATGGAGAAGAAAGACCCGGTGAAGTGTGAGCGATTGCCGCCAGAGCAAGATGGTCTTATACTAATCATAACAGTGGTTACCTCATGCATTAGGGGTCTCAAACAGTCTAACACAAAAATCGCTGCATTGCAGCTACTGCAAAAGTTATCCAAGTATACCACATCGGAGACTATACTGGATCGTATATTACCCTACATTGTATGTTACTGATTGTTTATCAAATTCTTATTATAATGTAATGTACATTTTTTGTAGCTAAATTTGGCGCAAAAGTCGCCAGCCAAGGTGCAAGTTCAGGCTATCGAAACGTTGACTGCATGCCTGAGCATGGTAAAGGACATTCCTCGTAGCGATGCCAATGTGTTTCCTGAATACATACTGCCCTACATCGCAGACTTGGCCAGCGAATCGAGCGCTGTTATTGTGCGTGTGGCCTTTGCTCGCAATATTGCAGCATTAGCCAAAAGCGCTGTATATTTTCTGGAGGAGACTCAGCGAAATGCACCAAATGAAATGCCCACGCCGCGTTACGATGCGGAATTGAATGCATTACATGATTTAGTTCGCCAAACGGTGCTTAGTGTGCTGACGGACACACAACCCATTGTCAAGCAGACCCTGATGGAATCAGGAATCTGTGATTTGTGTGCATTCTTTGGCAAGGAGAAGGCAAACGACGTGATTCTCTCGCACATTATGACGTTCCTCAATGATGAGGACAAGAACCTGCGCGGCGCGTTCTACGATAACATTGCCGGTGTTGCCGGCTATGTGGGCTGGCAGGCATCGGATATACTGGTGCCATTGTTACAGCAAGGCTTTACAGATCGCGAGGAATTTGTCATTGCAAAAGCCATACGTGCGGTGACCATTTTAATCGAGTTGGGACATATAAGAAAGCCCACCGTAACTGAGATTGTAAGTGAAACTGCCTGCTATTTGTGCCATCCGAATTTGTGGATTCGTCATGAGATTTGTGGCATGATTGCGACCACGGCACGCAATTTGAGCGCCATTGATGTGCAGTGTAAAATTATGCCAGCCATAGGAAGATTTCTGAAGGCATCGCTTATACAAGTGGACAAACCGCACATTCTACTAGATTGTTTGTTTCCGCCCATACCCAGACAAATCTATGATAGTGTTCTGCGTTTCCAAGACGTTCAATGTTTTGTTGGTGCTCTTGAAGATCGCGCGCGTTTGCGCGAAAATGCGCGGAACGGCGCTCAACCACAATATGATGAAATGGGCCGACAGGTCTATGATGGTGTGCAACGTTTGGAAGACATTCAATATTTTGTAGGCTCCGTTGGAGATCGCGCACGTTGGCGAGGGATCACACGTCATGGATCACAGCCGCTGTTTGATGACATGGGACAGACGCTGCTTAATGTAAGTGCTTTGGTAATTTTGGTCGGTCCTATTGAACCACTCACATTTCCAAAACACTACAGCTCTTCCGACGACTCATATCGGAGGGATTGACGGAGACCATTGAGATGCAATTGCTTGCAATGAAACCTTTTCTAATAGCCCTTAAGCACAAGGCGCAACAAGATCTCGATGATGTCAATACTGCCAATGGACGTATCGTGGTCAGTCGTAAGCAGGTTGGCTGCCATGAATATCCATTGGCGGAAAAGATAACGAAATTGACGTTGGATAATCGTAAGAACAGCATGAAAATGAATTTTACGTATTTTTGATAAGCGTTGATTACTTTTAGGAACTAGCCATGATACACATGCACCAGCGATAGTTTCACCTGCTTCAGACGCGGGTGTGACTCCACACACAGCTGCGGGCTCCTCGGGCAGTCCTGCATCCGGCGTCATGTTACTTGGAGTTCCGACCACAACAATGAGCGCCGCCACTTCACTAGGAGAATATACCATGCCGGATCGCAATTACTCATTGGAACGTTCATCGGAGTGTTGCAAGGACTTGGAGTCGCTTACTCTTAAAATCAAGCGGCGCTACAATGTACTGGCACTTTCGCAACGTTGCAATTATGATAAACTGGTCACGCCGTATCCATCAAACTGGCGCCTAAATGGTACGCTGGTGGCACATCTGCATGAGCATTCCGAGTCGGTGATTAAACTTGCGCCGCTGCGACCGGATGGCTCGCTATTTGCCAGCGGCAGTATTGATGGTACTGTCCGTTTGTGGGATTGCAGCAAGCTAAATGGCAACCAAGGCATTAATAAATCGCGTCAGGTATATTCTGCGCACACGCCAGTCTATGCATTAGCTGCTTGTGATGCTGGACAGTCTCTGGCTGTGGGTGGCAAGGATGGCAGTTTGCTTATAATGCGCATTGATCGTAATTCCACTAAAATGACGCTGCAGCAGGCCTTAGATCAGAAGTAGCTATTAATAATCTTTTGTCAAACAATTGACCAAACCATTTTTCTCGCTCTTTGCAGTGAATTCAACGATGGTCCCGTTGTGGATATGCATGCATATGATCAGTCAGCGCAGAGCGTCATTGTTTATGCTACACTTTATGGGGGCATCGTGGCCTGGGATACTCGTATGCAACACAGTGCCTGGCGGTTGCAGAATGAGTTACGCCATGGCGTTATCACGACTATTTGTGCAGATCCAACAGGCTCTTGGCTGGCAACGGGCACCAGTGGGGGCAAACATATCTGCTGGGATTTACGTTTCCGACTACCCATAACTGAGATAAAGCATCCAGCTGATTCTTGGATAAGAAAAGTTGCCTGCCATCCGACTGAGCCATCATATCTGATTTCAGCGTCGCAGTCCAATAATGAGGTATCCGTATGGAATATTGAGACCAGTCAACGACAAACAGTGCTGTGGGCAAGTCCAGCGCCAGTCTTAACCAATACAACTCAAAATGATCCAGCAACAACTTGTGGTATTTTGAGCGGCGTGGTCGACGGGTCGCCGTTTATCTTGACAGGAAGTTCAGATCAGCGTATTAGGTACTGGGACATATGTTCGCCAAGGAACTCGGCATTGAAAGTGCCGGCTTCGAATGATAATTTGGCGAATGTGTCATTTAACTATAGGTACGTTAAAGTGGACTTATTGATTCTCTGGAACCAATTTTATTTTTTTAAATGTATTTCAGCGCACGTCTTATTGACGGCAGCCAGGTTATTGAGGAGCAAATCATTCCCAAAAACAGTACAGGCGACTCTCAACAGATGCGTACTTCCGTAGAGGAAAGTCCAAGATCTGGACCCGATATGCCCAAAGCAAGTCATCACGATGCCATCACTGACTTGCTCATGTGCAAGGATAAGGGACAGATCTATATAGCATCGGCGTCGCGCGACGGTGTTATCAAACTTTGGAAATAGAAATTTATCTTAACTCTTTTTATCTGTGATTAGTCTAATTAAACTACATAAATTATCCATACCTATATATGCGCATTTTAGATTTCCACAATGCAGACGTTAAGTTCAAATTCTTAGCTGCACTGTTGTGCATCATAAGGTATTAGACAGTGCTGCCAGATCGTTCAAAAAAGAAATCGCTTCGTGCTTCCAAACTGAATCCCGAACGACTTTGGCGAGCTGGCAACGGAAAATGTGTGCAGGCATAATGACAACCCTATAAACAGACGCTGCAACCAACTTCATATTTTTTGACATCTGCAGCTGGCGCTGTTTTTCGCTTTTGTATCTTTGCAAGCGCCGTTATGAACAGAGCGGCCAAGCGCCATAATTCCAAGTGAAAAGTGATATTGTGAGGCAACTACGCTTTAGTATACAAAAAGAATAAACAACAAATATTAAGTATAGCTCACATTTAAATAACTAACAATTTAAAATATCACAACGGAGCGCGCAAATAAGTCAAAGTACCAAATTTGAAATAGAAAATACACAACGCACGGCAATTACAGCGCGCACGCAGTCGCTGTGTAGCAGGACAAAACAACAACAACAGCAGTAGCAGCAGCAGAAAGATAACCAGCGCAAACATAGAAGCATTTCAAAATGGCGCCAATTAAAGGTACTACACGAACTGCTGCAAGCAACCAGGCGACCATAAACGCACTTCTGCCCATGGCAGCCGTAAGAGGAAAGGGATTGAGCCGTCGACAGGCCAACAGTGGTATCGATCAAAATGCGGAAAACATCCAAACACGCGCTAAGCGTAAGGCCGATCATAGCCCCATCAAGAATGATAAGATCAAGCGCTCGGCGCTGGGTAATTTGACTAACAATGTTAAGATCATGACGCTACATCCAGGCGACGAGGAGACCCAACAGCAGCTGCCCAAAAAACCGACGGCACAACAACTGCAGGCGCTCCTGGATGCAAAGAATAATGACAATTCAAATATCTTAGCTGCAGTTACTGCTCCAGCTCCAAGTGCTATGGTCAACAAAATAATGACGCGCGCCTCAACCAAGACAGAGGATTCGGTGGAGAACTGTCACAGAGCGCTGGACAGATTCGAGGAATCGTTGGCACTAAAACGGACACGCAAGCCGCCAGTGGCTCAAAAAAAACCAACCACAGTAATCGCTGAACAAAAAATTGCCGCTGTGCAGGCGCCGGTTGTTCCAAAATTGGCTGCACCACATCCGGCAGCTGCTATAAAGGTGCGGCGCATATCCAATGACTTTAATAAGACTGAGGAGAGCCTATACATGTCCGCACTGGAGGATATCTCCAGTAGCGATTCCATGCGCTTGTCCGGCAATTTTGAGGCGGCGCGTCGCCTCTCTGCTAAATTACAACTAAAGACTGAACAGCCAAAGGCCGCAACGATGCAGCAGCAGGCGGTGCTTATGGAGGCAGCATCCGCTGCAGTGGTGAGGCCTGTCACCCCCGTGCCAGATGATGTGGAGGACTTTGATCGCAAGAATTGGGATGATCCCTTCCAGGTGTCCAATTATGCCAGGGACATTTTCAATTATCTGAAAACGCGCGAGCCAGAGTTTCCCATTATCGACTATATGCCGAAACAGGTACATTTGACAACCTGGATGAGAACGCTGTTGGTGGACTGGATGGTCGAGGTGCAGGAGACCTTTGAGCTTAATCACGAGACTCTCTATTTGGCTGTTAAAATTGTCGATCTCTATTTGTGCCGTGTGGTTATTAACAAGGAAAAACTGCAGCTACTGGGTGCAGCTGCCTTTTTCATTGCTTGCAAGTATGATGAACGCCAGCCGCCGCTAATTGAGGACTTTCTGTATATATGCGATGGAGCCTACAATCATGACGAATTGGTCAAAATGGAAATGGAAACGCTGCGCACCATTAACTACGATCTCGGCATACCGCTCTCCTACCGTTTCCTGCGTCGCTATGCTCGCTGTGCCAAGGTGCAAATGCCTACACTTACCCTGGCGCGTTACATTTTGGAGCTGTCGCTTATGGACTATGCCACCATCAGTTTTAGTGACTCCCAAATGGCGTCGGCCGCTCTCTTTATGGCACTGCGCATGCATGGCGGCACGGCCAACCTGCACAACAACACCTGGACATCGACGCTGATCTTTTACACAGGCTATCAGCTGGCCGATTTTGCCGAAGTTGTGCCCATACTGAATGCAGGATTACATAGGAAGCCAAGGGCCACCATAAAGACGATACGGAATAAGTACTCGCACAAGATATTCCATGAGGTGGCCAAGGTGCCGCTGCTCAGCAACGGCGAGCTATTCCAAAGCAATCTCGATCTGAACGATAGTAACTTATCCACCTGAGCCACACAATTGCGGGCCTTGCTCTGTTGTAACGCCAATTAGCCAAATTGATAATGAGCAACAACTGTTACGCTTCACTAGATATATAAGACGCTTCAATCAATTAATCCGTTAGAGATGCCGACCAGTCAAAATATCAACCCTAATAGCAAGATACTTATATTTTTATTTCATATTATTTTCGATTTATTTTGTACTTTTTATTGTTTGCTTTATTATTGGCTTACATTTATGACTTTTTCCCATAAATTTTATGTTTATCACGCTGATTGTTTCAATTCATGTTTATTGTTTACACTCCTATTATATAAATAACAAATTACCCAAACATCAATTAAGCTGGACAGCAAACTTTTGTCACCCATCTATTTAAATTTATGCTATTTATAGTCTGGAGAACCACTTAATAAATCTTACACCTATTTTAAGCAATCGCAACGCCAACGCCGTTTGATGATGGTGGACACCAAAGCTGACATGGACTATACGTTTTAACATTTAATACCACAATTCTTCAGAGTTTTACACGTCTAGTAGTACTAACAACTAACCGATGCCAGATGCTCTACGCCGCTGATGGCCCATTCAGATTTATGTATGTTATGTTGTAGTTGTTGTAAGATGATTTCTTTTGTTACCATTCATGACACAATGTTTTAGTTTGTAATGGCGAAAAGAACTTTCTGTACTCTAAATAACTAGTTATGTATGTATTCGTATTCCATGTTATCTATATATATATATGTATGTATGTATGTATGTATGTATGCAGGTACGCTGCCGAGTCAAGAGAAACCAATAAACACTTTTAATGTCCATTCAAGAAATTGCATGTAAAATGTATGGGAATTTGCAAAACTTCTAGCTAAGTAAATCTGTATAGATTATCGTTTATACATGCATATGTATATATGTATATATATATATTTCCCGGTATGTATATATACTTACAGCTGAACAGCCATTTAGGTCAGTTCTAGTTTCCATTGTTTTCGCTCAGGTGAGTCTAGCTGACATACACAAAAACAAATCAATAATCTATGTTTTTTGATTTCAGGGTCTGGTTTTTTTGGCGCGCCCGTCTGCACATTTTAGCGCCAAATTATTTTGGGTTTTGGTTGGCAGGCTGCGCATGCGCCGCAAGACATCAACCTCGATGCTGCTTCCCGTTCCCGTACCCGTTGCCGTTGCCGTAATCGTCTTTGTCCAACAAATCACTGCATACATAACCAATTTATACCGCTGCAGTTGAGCCTGAAAAAGGGCAGGCAGCAGCAGCAGCCGCCTGTCTGTCTCCTTGATGTTTTCTACCACCATTCCTTGTCGGTCGTCGGTCGCCTGTCGTCCGTCGTCTGTCCTCCTTCCATTGTGCGCCTGTACTTCATTTTTTTCGGCTGCCAGCGCTGCCTGCAGCCAGGTAGTTTAATGTTCATTGTGTACTTTCTCAACGAAATAGTGAGGCAACTGAAATGCATGTTACTTTTTTCCGGTTCGCAAGGTAGGGTGCCTTATGTGCGTATAGGACAAAAGGCCAAGTTGTCCTCGTGTTGATGTCGTCCTCTTATTTTTCGTGTTGCCGCTGCTGATGCTTAAGGTGCAACCAGGGTACATAGCTAATTACTTTGGCTGGGTGTGGGCAAAAAATCAAGTTTATTAAAATACACACGGTTGAGCAGCTGCTGCTCCTGTTAAACCTGACACGGTGAGGTTAGCTTACACCTAACTTATGACCATAACTTATAATCTGTCTTGTTTTTAGTTTTTCAGTAACCTGGTCTGTTGAAGGCGCCGTTATAGCCGCCTCCAAAACCACTGCCATAGCCTTGCGAGCCGTGATTGTTCAGCACACTGAATGGTCCCTTGTGTACTCCATCTTCCGTGTACTCGGATTTCATTTTGAAGCTGTGATCCCAACGATCCCGTTGCCCAGGTGCTGCATGTGGTGCATAGTTTTGCTGATTCTGATAGCTTGTGGGTGGCGCTCCAGGGTGCGTCGTTACAGGCACGTTGGGTGCATAGTTTGGATAAAGTGGGGCTGTCGGCGGATAGGATGGATATTGTGGCAAGTATTGGCCTGGATAGGGATAAGCCGGTTGTACGGGATATCCAGGTTGTGGGTTTCCATAACTTGGGTACACGCCTGGCGGATTGCCTCCAGGAAGAGGGACCACTTGCGGGTTTCCATTAGCTGGATATCCAGGGAAATCTGCTTGCCTTGCAGCCGGCTGACAAACATTTGGCACAGTATTTGGTTCAGAGCCTCCAACAGGCCGAGTGCATCCAGGTGACGAGCTTGGAGGTGTTGGGTAGCCCACCGTCTGTGGTTGTCTAGGAAAAGGCGATGCAGGATAATAGCCATTTGACTGTGGCTGCGGATTGCCATATGGACTAGAGCGAAGATCCACGGTGCCGAAGCCGCTGCCGCCGTTCTCATGGGCTGACGGCTCATCAATGTCAACGGAACCGCTCGATTGCTGCCTTAGATCCGGATATAATTGCGAGTTGAGATGAGCACGTTCATGATGACGATTTGTGCTAATGCCGCCTTTGAAAGTGGTGGCTAAGTTGAATTCGGTCTTCGAATCCTCGTTGCTCTCGTCTCGCGAATAGTGTGACGCGTGCGTCAGGACAGCGGTCAGGGCCAACAGCAGCCAGCCAAAGGGAACGCAGCAACGCATGGCGAAAATTCTCGTTAAACTGGACCTTCCCAGCGAATGCTAAGCATATTTAAATTTAAAGTGCGCCGCGAGCTTAGATGTGTTTGTGATTCTCGGGGTTATCATTCGGGTCAGGTTCTAGACTGAGATGATATGTGTTTCATTGAGGAGTAAATAATGAGATTCGCTGATGTTTGCAAATCCGAAGAGCGGATTCTCTTATCGATTCAGAGAATCACATTTATAAAGCAAATTGTTTATTTAAAGTGACTCTGAAATGAAAAGCGGCAATAGAACTAATTATAGAATAGAATCGAATTTCTGAATGACAACATTATATGCGTTTGAAATATTGATAATACTCTACCAGGAATTCCCCATGCTTTCTAACTAAATACATATTTTGGCTGGCTAAGCCTTGACTTCGTTGAGCAAAATCGATAATATATAGCCCTGATACTCTTACCATGATGATTACCACACGATTGACCTATTAATGATAGAGATCGTCAGCATTGTTGAAGGTCGTTCATTGAGTAAAAACACTTATATATATATATGTTGATTATCAGCTATATAAGCTTGATTCTCGGCAAGGAAAAGCGTCATATCAATTTTCAACATTAACAAAGATGCAGCTTAACATTGGATTCTGCTTCCTTCTGCTGGCAGCTCTGCTGACTGCGCAGGCGAAACCTACCTTCGATAAAATGGCGGAAGTGCTGCTAGACGTACTGGATGATAGGCCACATTATGCAAGACCGAGACCCTACGCACCAGTACCATCATCTGGCCCACTCATACAGGAGGGCTATGATCATGGCTACGATTATTACTATGGTGGTGGCGGAGGTCATGTGCACGGCAATGGCGTTAACGTTGGCTATCCCTATGCACAGCCTCCTCCTGCTTATGGTTATTACGATCAGGGACCTGTACATGGGCCAGTAAAGGGCTACTTTCCCGAACCACACTATCCACATGGCTATGCATCACATGGCTATGCGCCCGCTCCCACATACAGGCAGGAACATGGCCACGGCTATGGCAGAGTTGACGTTACGGGTCCCGGAGTCGGCGGTTACAAGCAACACGGTTATTAGCATCAATTCGTGTTGATACTGATTTTTAAAGAATTAATAATCTTAAGTACTGTTATATATAATTTATTTGAATGCTAGGCATTTGCCAATAAATATTTTGTTCTTATCTCGGAAATTGTTGAAACTCGTATGATCAGTGGGAACATTGAACTGGAAGATCTTTGTACCCATTAAAAGTGCAATAGAACTCTATGTGATGAAAAGAAAACTCTTTATTGATATTTGTCCCAACTCCACAATAGGACTCATTAGCTTGGTATACGATACATGTATTTTACATTACATCTGTTTAATATCACAGCAGTTGAAATATGGCTATGCCACATAATTTGAATAAATATTGCCCTTTTCTCATATGCTTGTTCGCTGTTGTTCGTCAGCGTGCAAAACCTGTTTGTAGACCTCATAGCCTCCAGACATACAAAGCCGAACTTGAGTTCGAATCTTAGAGAGCACTGAGCCGTGCGATTATTCAACTTTATTTGTGTTTATTAAATTGCAAATCTTCTATTAATATTTATATTGTGATTATCTTTACTTAGTATAAGAAGAGACGTTCCGTATTAGCTAGCATGCCGCTTAGCTCATTTTCTTCTGCGCACATCGATAGGTTCCGATTGAAGCGGCTCGCTGGGAGCTTGGATGTAATTTAATGAGTTGGGGAAAACAATGTCGCGTAACCGGGATGTCTCAATTGATCGAGGTGATGGCGTGGTAGTTGTTGCTGGTCCCAGAGGTGGACGATTTGTGCCCACAATCAGCGTGTCTCCGGGACTCGGAGTCGGAGTGGGCGATATAACCAAAGGCGGTGGATTTCGTCCACTAATCAACGTATCCTTGGTGGGTTGGGTGAATGGCACTGGTGTAGTAGTTGCTGGCGTGATAATTTTAGAATTTTCATTGCCATTGTCGGCGGGTGTTTGTGAGTTGTCTATAGGAGGCAATTGGAATTGTTGACTGCCATCTGGCCAACTGAGACGTGATGGATCATAGGCATTGTTTTGAGATGAGCCGTCATCCCATCCTGCTGGTGGTAGTCCATTTCCATCTCCCCAGGGAGGTGGCGGTTGTCCATTTCCATCTCCCCAGGGAGGTGGCGGTTGTCCATTTCCATCTCCCCAACCATTTGGTGGCGGGCCATTTCTATCTCCCCAGTTAGGTGGTGGTGGTCCGTTTCTATCTCTCCAACCGGGTGGGGGCCGTCTGCCACCTCCACCACCCCTGCCTCCCCATCCAGGCGATTGTGGTCTGCCACCTGCCCAGTTTCCCCAACCAGGAGGAGGATACCGGCCACCACCATTCCAACCACCGCCTCCATTCCAGCCATTGCCGCCATTCCAGCCGCTGCCGCCATTCCAACCACTACCACGGTTCCACCCACCGCCACCGTTCCAACCATTGCCACCATTCCAGCCACCGCCACCGCCACCCCACGGTGGTTGCTGCCGTCTTCTATCTGGCATGCCTGTTTGCTGTCTGCCGCCGAAGCCAAAGCCTTGCTGAAGTAGTTGAGCTGCTGCAGCGACGGCATTAGCGGATGCCACAGCACCATCAGCTGATGCCGAAGACATTGCCACAGTAAACTGGGCACCGCCCATTCGAATTATGCATAGTAAACACGTTGTCAAGGCCGTTAGCAAATTCAATCGTATTCGCGTCATGTTTACTTCAGATCGAATCGAAATTCAGCGCCCATGCGCCAAGAGCTGCGAGTTCTAACTGAGGGGAAAGTTTTTGCTGTTTGACGATAAGAGAGACGCCTCGGATTTGTATTCAAAACCTGTCCTCGGTTTGTTTGTTTTTCTGCTTGCGACTTGTGCTAATCAATGCATGATGAGAGATCGTGAGAGACACAACAGCTTTGCTCTCTAACGGAGCGTATTATGCGAACATTAAAAATTGTATACAAAAGCCCAAAAGAGCTTCAGAGGAAACAAGATGTGGGCAGCCGTTGACCGACGATCGCCGACTCATGGATCCGCTTGAGCGGCTGCTTCCCTCGCAGTGCGTTAATCACGGACGTGCTCGGCATACCAAAATGGCTTGATCCATCTGTTAACGTTCAAGTAATTCATAGTAATGCATTAAAGTGCTGCTGCTTGGATAGAAATTAGCATTATGGCAGCAGATCTCCAACGATCCAGGTGGCTTTATGTGTTGGCAGACACAAAAATAAAACGATTAAGAGCATAATGTGTCATCGGTATCCCGGCTACAGTCGCAGGGTATAAATAGAAGCCCGCTGCGTAGATTTATAGGCAGAACGCAAAAGATCCGCACGGAACCAGAACCACAACGAGAATCCAAACAACATGAGAGTTCCTATCATAGTGTTCCTCGCCCTGCTGCTAGGCAATTGCGTGGACCTGAGCAACGCTTTGTTCCTTAAGAAGCTAAAGGCACTTAAAGGACTCAAAAGTGGCTACAGCTCCGGCTATGGCGGTTACGGCTACAGTTCTAACGGGGGATACCGAGGATATGGCGGATATGGTGTTGGATATGGCGGATATGGTCGTGGATATGGCGGATATGGTGGTGGATATGGCGGATATGGTGGTGGATATGGCGGATATGGTGGTGGATATGGCGGATATGGCGGATATGGTGGATATAATAGTTATAGCGGTTATGGCAATGGCTATGGTTCGCAGTCCTACAGGCCCAGACATCGACAGCGGACAGGGCGCACCTACTCAGAGATTGCCAGAGTTTTAAAACCGGACCCCTATCTAGGTCTAGGTGCGGGCCGCTACCTACCGCGCGCTCCTTATTCACATCTGTGGGGCTAACTTATTTCACTCAAAATTTGTGTAAAATTAAGAAATAAATCTGTGAAAGTTTTGATATAATAAAATTTAGGTTTAATTACAACTTGTTACGTGTTTCTATGTGAAAATTTTTTAATTCCAGCCAATTTTAATTAGTCTTATAAAGTGTGAAGCTGATTTTAAAATGTGTGACATATGTATACACGAGTCTATATATGTAATTATCTACATATGTAAGCCATAAGTGCTAGCCGCGTGTAGTTGATCGACGCGACGTGACTGAAATGCGACTAGGTCGCTTAGAGATGGGAGTGTCACGTATCTGTCACGCGAATCACGCTCTAGAAAACAAATCAAGTTGATTTTATAGTCGAATACGTACATATCTATGATATATATGTGTACGATCTCAGTTCAAAAATACTTATTTATGAATATTCGATTTATTTTAACTTATACAAAGTATAGCTAGATTTGACTAGAACATGTTCTTACAGGTAAGTTCCCCCAAATCCTAACAGGAAACAGAATACAAAATATTCTCTTAATAGTCCACATTTATGTCTAAGTAATTGTTCCTATCCATTTACGTTAAATACTGCCTACGTCATTAGCAACTCATATTAGACTTGATAACTACGTTTTAAGCTGTCATAGTTATGCTATGCTGTGTCAAATCATTCACAGTTTAGATTGTTTAAGTGAGAATGCTGAAAGCTAAGATCGATCTAAGTAGACATGAGGCTATTTAAAACATGTTTTTGTTGATACTCTCAGAGCTGAGCTCGCGCAGTGTGAGTGATGTTCTTAACGTGCTGTTAATGCAAACAGCTCAAGATTTACAACGGAAACTGTGGGTAATACCAGTAAGCATGGAATATATGTAACTTAATTGTATTTTCATAGAAGTTCTTATGTTGTTATTGCTATATTCAAACCTGATTGGTGAGCAGGAAATCGATAGCATTGATTCTTCTGGCAGCATATTCATATAAAAGGCTTCTATGTGTTGCATCTGAAGTGCAGTTCTTAATACCAAGCCCAAGCTACAAAATGTGTACGTTGCAAGTAAAGCTCTTGATGCTGGCTCTGTTCGCCTGGATCACTCTGTTGTCGGTGGCTGTTGCTCTGCCTGCCAAATCCTACTCGGATATAGCTCGTGTCATCAATCCCAATCCATATGTCTCAGTCGGCGCACGCAGCTTTCCAGGCCAGCCGTATTGGCCAGGAGGACGTTAGATATAAGTGGCATTAGCATTTGTTTTCACCAACTAATTAATATAAGTTTATCTTATATTTTGAATGAATATTAAATTAAATTATTCTTCTTTGTTTAATTATCATTGACTTTCCTTAAGGTCCTCTAGAAGCCACTAGAACGAGTAGTTGAAGGTCGCATGGCATTCATTCATTCTCTCATATTAAGTTTTGACTTCTTTTTATCTTGATACCACTTACTTAATACTCGCAAATTAAGCGATACTCATATGGCGAGTGAGTGGAGTACAGGTTTTTTTAGGATACATAAAACATATATGTACTTTACTTTACTTTGTGATTTCATTTTCATTGACTCGGTGATATTTCTGTCTGCCTTCAAGATTTGCAGCTTGAGCACACAGTCACCTAGGAGTTCCCCTTTGGACTTTCGCAACTCTTAACTTTTATGTTCTTGAAATGTGACATAATGGATTTGATCACGCGTTTAACGCTCCCTTATGGACGCACCCACAGATGTCATTAGTCACAATTAGTAAATTGTTAATTACTTTTAAGCTGCTGAAATTATTTTAGCCAACTCATTTGTATAGCCATTAAAATTGACTGTTAAATCTAAGATTGATACAAGCATAAGTATGTGTATAAAATTTGTTCTGAGTCGCGACGTGAACAGCGACATCTCAAACCTGATCGAACCCAGAGTGAATGACATTTTGATGACACTACAAGATGATACAGAAGATCCCACGTCGCCTGTTGCGGGAAGAGGAGCTCGGTAATGCCGATACGTGCGTCGCATGCGTCGCGTGGCACTGAAACTGTATCCGAATGTTGTTGTTGACACACCAAAACCTGATCGATCAGGCAGCAGAATTTCAAGACATTTCTGATGACTTACTTGGCATATAAAAGCTTCGATGCGACGGCATTGTAGTGCAGTTCTCAATAGCTGTCCCTAGAAACAGAATGTCTCGGTTGCAGGGAAACTATTTACTGCTGGCTCTACTGGCCTGGTTCGCACTGCTACCAATGGTAATGGGCTGGCCAGCCTATGGATATCGTCCAGATCGTAACGGTCGCAGCTACACGGATATAGCTCGCGTTATTAATCCCAATCAATATGCTTTTGTGGGCAGTCGCAACTATCCGGGACAGCCGTTTTGGCCAGCAGGATAGCAGGAAGCATTTTAATCCAAATTTATTATATTTTAATTTAAATACCATAAAAATAATTTTAAAAATTTTGTTAGCTATTTAACTCATCTAATTTATGCTTGACGCACAAAAGTATGCAACAATTTTCGTTGGTTTTGTTAGTTGTTTGCTTTTACTCATTCGTGTGGAAATTAAAATGTGTTTAATGAATAAATGAAGTTAACTTTGGCCTGAACTGTTGGCCATGCATATTTAATTGTAAATAAATTATTATTAAAATTAATGACGCCAATATCACCGCTGGAAACTAGCCACAAGAAGTGGGCAGCACTGGCTCCGTATTTACTGGGCCTGCCGAAAAGTATACTTTCTCTCTGGCAATAATTAAAGTGGTAGCTTTTATCGCTGCCTGCTAGAAACAATTAAAACAAATGTTAATGACAAACTTGCATTAAAGTCTCAGCTACGGACCACGCCCAGTTTGTTTGACGCAGTGGTCCACCAACTGCATGTTAAAGACGCTCAGTTGGCAGACATCAAGCACGAGTAGAGGACAGACGAATAGCTCGTATCATCGTTAAAATTGTGCGCTTCAATGGTTAATATTGAATCAACATCCAATGCCATCTGGTGGATTAAAAATCCGAATGCAGCGAAAGCTGGTGGCACTGCTGGGCGCAAGGAGTCGCTTGGGTCGAGCTTTTGTCTGGATATCGCTGAATTACTGCGCAATATATCCTTGCAGGGTTATAGCAAGCTATTGGCATCGGAATTAACGTTGCCGGAGCGGTAAGCGCCTGATAAAAGGGCAGCTCGTTGCTGCTTTTGCCGCACTGACGTCACGTTACTCATACGCAACGTGGGCTCCATAGAAAATTTGCACTTTCGCATCCTTTGTCTTTCCGTCTCTCTAGGCATTGCCATCAACGTCACCGTCACCATCACCGTCTCATCGCTGTGCACCGTATTTTAAATTTTTTGCGTTCGCATTTTTCATTTCCGTTTCCGTGTTTGCCTCAAAAACTGCTCATGGCCCTGGCGCTTTGTGCGTTTATCTTGGCGACAATGCCCGTCCACCCCACCCGTGTGCCCGTTTATTTGCAGATTAATTTGGCTGCTGGTGCACACAACCACGCTCATTTCAATGGTGGCTGTGCTCATGCTCACCTGGGAGCAGTTTATTGCACAATACTTTGTCATCAATCTGAAGGATCCACTTTATCCTGTTGAAAATGTGCCATTTCCGGCAGTGTCAATATGCTCCAACAATCGCATTTCCATGCGGGCCGCCACGGCCTACGCTCTCGAGCTGTGAGTAGCCTCAATCTCTGCCAGCCTCTTGCACGGTCTTAACCTAGTTTATTGTCAAGCAGTCAGAATAATGATCCATCGCCTCATGATTTGAAGTACTACCTGGACAACCTGATTCATCTCCGGAAGCTCTATATGATCGGCGACAAGGAGGCAGAAAATGATGACTATATTAACTTTCAAGCGTTTCTGGACATCTTCGGCACCTGGAATAATGAAACCTTTTTCGATACACGGCGTATCATGTATATGGTGAGCTGCGGTTATCACTCCATTGAAACTAGTTGGTATATCGAGAGGGATTTCTAGCTGACGCCCAAATGCACTGAATACATTATAAAATGCAGTCTGAACAATGTGAATATACCTTGCTTCAGCGAGTCTGCTTTTCAGATGAAGCTAACAAAGTATGGCCCGTGCTGCACATTCAATAGCAACAACGGGTAAGTGCTGTTCAAGCTTAACAAATTTATAGATGTATAGTTTTATAAAGTAAATTACAATCTCTCATTATGCAGGCTTAAAAAGAGAACTTTCAGCAATCGCTTAGCCGATGCATCCTTTGGGTTGACAGTTGTCATCAACTCGAGTCATGCGGACTATTTTGCGCCAGTTTTGTATACGAATGGTTACATTGTCATAGTTCATGATGCAGATAATTTTCCATCGATAACATCATCAAATTCACTAGAAATGTTTCCAGGACAACGGGAGGAAAGTTATCTAAAGATTTTTGCCCGTGTAATAGATACCGATAAAAGTTTATACTCCTTTTCCCCCTTTGGAGTAAGTTTTGATCTTTTCAGATTGTAATTCCTAATATTCTCGTCCATTTTCGGCCAGCGTCGGTGTTATTTCCATAGAGAGGCGGACATGCCACAGCGGAGTTACGTTTACACGTTCCCCAACTGCATTACCAGATGCCGCATTCGCAGCATAATTGCCTTGTGCAACTGTATACCCTTTCAGATGCCTCTGGACTTGGTGGACAACTTAGATGGGCTCGTCTATTGTACGCTTAGCCATATCAGTTGCCTTTCCCAGTATCAATGTGAGTCACCAACTTTACCTAGCTCAGGCTATTGATTCCAATTTTGCGGTTTTGAACTTTAGTTAAGTGGAATAATGTATTAACTGAGAGACTTCGAATCCCGGGCCTCGAGCGCGAATCGGAAGAGGCCTTGTACTGCCCGCAGTGCCTGCCTTCGTGCAACGATGTGCAGTACAGTGTATCTCTGAACGAGCTGCCCATTGATACGTATCTGGCGAATCTGTCACCTGACGAAATTGACACTGAGCTGGGCACCGATTTGTCCGTTCTGAGAGTGTATTTTGGGCAGCCGCACGCTAACTTCTACATGAGATTGCTGAATAACGAATGGTTTGAGATCTTCAGTAAGTGACTGAATATTTATTTGCTTGCTTCTGACTAATATATTTGCATCAGGTACCATTGGAAATATTTTGTCAATATTTATGGGATTTTCATTGGTGGCCATCTTTGAGACGCTCTTCTTCTTCTGCAAGTACATTTACTTGGGCTGCTGTCGCATATTGGAGCGCAGCAGAGCCAATAGCAAAGCGAAGATGTTGGATGAGCGAAAGCTACACATATGTCCATAAAGGAGAGCTCATTGAAGGAAATGCTGGGGATCAAGTGTGGAATGTTCTGTTTGTAATTGCTTAAAGGCACCACAGCTTTATGTTAAAGGAAACAGACTTGTTGAAATACAAAAATTCCTATATCTTTATTCACAATCAACACGTGGCTTCATTTGCCTGTTTCATAATCCTGGCCACGGGGTAGGTTTCCTTTTCCTCTTTTTTGTGTTTGAATGCCAAGCCAGACGAAGAAAAATCAAAAAAGGACATGACCTGCTTTTGTCCTTGTCGCCACCCTCACGATGATTATGACGATGATAATAATGATGGTGATGATGAAGATGTTGTTTCCGTTGGCTGACATTTAATGCGCATTTAACTAATTTCATTTTAAATTGTTGACAATTAAGGGAAATTGCCAAGACGAATCGAGAGCCTGCCTGAATAAACAGCCTATGGGTGGGAGGTGGGTGTACCAATGCTGAACACCACGTGCCATGTCGCAGTTAATTTGTTGGCAATAAGTTGGTACACGAGGCCTAATTACAACAACACGCACGACATGACTGCAAAATTTTCATTAAAATGAGCAGGCATCAACACCCCGCCCATCCCCATCCGCATTCCCATCCCAACTGCCATGACAATGCCATGGCCAGGACATTTGTTAGAGCAGCAGCCTACAAAAAGGCGTGCACGGCATAGACAGCCGCAACAGTTGCAATCCACAAACGGCTGAGTGAGTGCCAAACATGACAACAAATGCAGAGCGGGTTGGCCCGCCATTGCCATCCAAGCGTTTGGTGGTTGGACGCGCCGCCTGGTGGATAGCCAAGCCACGAGCTCGTCCACCTGCGCAACACACGCTAATGGCGGCTATCCGCGAAGAGGAATCGGCAACGCGAAAATTGTCATTTGCCGACGCGCTTAAGGATTTTCTGCAGAACCTGTCATTTCATTGTTATGGCAAATTAGTCGAGCACGGCCGTGGCATTCAGGAGCGGTGAGTAGCATGGCCAACGCTTAAAGCCTTTTGCTGCCCCTTTGGGTTGTCCTTTCAATTAGCCGACTCGGCCGCAGATTCTTTTGGCTTATTTGCCACATAGCTGCTCTGACCATTCTAATTGCATTCGTGTGGGGCACGTACAAGGACGCAACGGATGAGCTAGTCACCACGCTGTACGATCCATTGTATGCCGTCAGCAAAGTTCCCCTGCCCGCCGTTACGGTATGCTCCCAGAATCGCATATCCAAGCGCGCCGTCTGGCGTTACGCACAGGAGCTGTAAGTTACGTCCGGTTGTGGTAAGCCTCTTTCTAGATAATCCCTTCGCTAATCCTTTGCAGCAGCGACAAGGATCCAAAGCTGCGCAATGCCACTTACTTCTATGGAGAACTGCGTGCCTTTAGCATGTACTACGGCATCGACGACATTGTTGATTATGAGCGCGTTCTGCGGCTTCAGAGTTTCTTGGATCAATTCGATACCGGACCACAGGATGTGTTTTTTAATTCGAAGAATCGCTTGCATACTCTGACGCCTCAATGCAGTGACATTTTGGTCTCCTGCCGTTTAGGAGGTCGGCCATTCGACTGTATGCAGGAATTCCGTGAAACAATCTCGAGCCTTGGATTTTGCTGTACTTTCAACTTTAATGGAAGGTATATGAATCTTAACTTATCTAAAATGTTTATTAGATTTGACTAGTTTTTTTTAGTTTTTCCGAAAAGCGACCGTTTTATCAGCGTTTTTATGGAGTTGATATGGGTTTAATTCTAACACTGAGAGCCGCAGCTGAAGACATGTTTTTCAACCCGCACAATCGTGATGGATTTTCGGTATATTTTGTTCGATTTGAAGCTGCAAATCTCTATCAGCATATCCCCAAACAGATTGCCATCTATGAGATACACAATTATCCGGATCCACAATCTGGTGGTGTTACCATACGTTACGTACACACAGGTCGCAGTACTTATTTGCCCGTGCGTCCCCGAATCTTCGAGACTCTCCCGGAAGCTCGTCGCATAAGACCCGACGTGGTGCGTATTGCAGACAGCTGTCAATCATTGTCCAATCAATCAGTAAACGTGTTCATAGCGTAAATGCCGTTTTTGGGATGAGATTCCGCGCAACTTCACTCGTCGATATACCTTCAGCAAATGTATCTCCGCCTGCCGCGCCCGCAGCATATATAACTTGTGCGAGTGCCTCCCTTTCCAGCTACCCATGCATTACATTGGCGACGCCGCGGGACGCGTCTTCTGCACGCTACAGCACTTGGAGTGCCTCAACCAATACAAGTGTGAGTAGGCAGAGGCTGTAGCAATTGTTCAAGTCGATTGAGTCTCCGATATTATTTCAGTCAAATGGCTGAATGTCATCACCAGTCGCGACTATATGCCCGGCCTGGAGCATGAGATGGAAGATGCGCTCTACTGTCCGGACTGCCAGCCCTCCTGTAGTGAGATACTCTACAATGTTCGTGGCGCCGGAGCGCTGGCCCTTCACAATCCCTCCAGAAACATGACGTAAGTAAAAAGTAGTTCGAGTTGAACAAGAGAACAGTTCAAGGACAATGTTTAGTGATTGAGTTGTTGTATAATGAAACTGCAAAATAAAAATATCTTTGCATACTTTCAGGCGGACATAAGTATTAAATGAATATGTATTGATATATATATTAATTTAACTTTGTTATTTACCAGCATTTCTTAAGCATTAATATATAGTTTATAAGTCCTGCATCCTTTTACTACAAAAGTTTCTCGATTAAAGGTTGCGTTTTTTGTTTAGTTCAAACTCAGTTCATGGGGTGCCCTGATGGGGTTACGCTTACCCCCATCAGTTGCTATAAACGAGTTCAATTTTGCAGTAACGTCCGCAGTAGCATCAGCCCTGGCAATAACAGTTATGGCCATGACAGCTCCGAGTTGGCCGTTGTGCGTATTTACTTTGCCGAAACGCACATTCAATACTTTCGGCAGATTATTAAAAATGACTGGTACGAGATCTTCAGTGAGTCTGCTGCATATTACAATTTCAACAAAAATACAAATATCCAGGCGCATATATCTGGCGTGTACTGCTTCAATTCCAGGTACAATTGGCAACATCTGCGGCATCATAGCGGGCTTCTCATTGATTGGCATCTGCGAGCTGCTATTTTTCGTAGCCAAACAATTATGGCATGCATACAAAGCGGAACGGAAGTCGGAGCTCTGGCACACCCGCGACCATACCCCACGTCGATCCCGAGCCCGGACTCGGGCTAATGGTCGTGTAAAGGCAACTCAGCAGCAGCAGCGGCAGCCAATGGAGCTCCTCATACTGCCGTAATTGAGCGAAAGGCCGTGCCAATTTTAAAGCTCACTGACTTTTATACAGTTCTCTGCACGCATTTGTACAGTAGTAGCCGTAGTATAGTATATATGAAGTGTGTTCAAGAGGTCGCGTGTGTGTGTGTATTGCTGTTGACCTAAGTAACAAATGTTAATTATCGCGCACTGAGCAGCTGCCAGCTGATTGTAGGCCGGGAGCACAACTCAAGTGCACTTACTTTGCATTGTCACATAAAAATAAACAGCATCAGGAGACACTCAGTCCAACTTAGAGAACCGGCCACAGCGGCAGAAGGGGGCTGCAAAAAGGTCCAGACGGTAACATTAGCGCCAACAATCTTGGACATTTGCCCACTGGCTGGCCAACAGTTGGCAGTCGAAACAGTCGAACAGTTATGGACCACAAAGTCGAGGAGTTACCCAAAACGTTTCGAAGGCAGTTATCCTTGGCACATTGCCCGACTGGCACTTACAATCAAAATAAATTTTTATTTGTAATCGTTTGTGCAGAGATTGACAAAATGAGTAAACAAATTAAATGCTCTCTATGCATATTCATCAACTTTAAATTGTCCAATCGGTTCAATGATGTGTAACAAAATATGGATTGGCAATGATTAAAAACATACGTAATATCCAGCTTAAGCCAATTAGAAATATCTTATCTGCTTTCATTAAAGCCGCAAGCTCAAAGGCTTCAAGGAATTCTAAAATATTTTTATCTTAATGAAATTTTTTGATGAATTCTGGCTTTCAATTGATTTTCACATTGATTCGCCTGGCGAAAGCCAACAAAGTCCCCACACACACACAGCCACACACAGAAACATACTTGCATGTAAATTCTTTTCGCAGTATCTGAAAATTGAAATGATTTCCGTTGAATTTGTAGGGAAGTTTCTTTGTTTTGCCATGGCCAAAAACCTGCCTAAAAATTGCAAAAAATTTAAATAAACGCACTCGAGGAGCGTAGCACACGATATTTCTAGATACATGGACAACAACAAAGCAACCAAAGTAAACACTAGAAAGCGAGAAAATGTATAAAAAAATTCCGTCCTGGCTTCCATGAGAGGCAGACAGTTGTTCCACCCGTGTGGCGTATTATCGCACAATACAATATGTATATTGGATTATTTCGTTTGTGAGCGCTCCCCAGGCTCCGACTTGACTGCCTCCTAATGCCATTGCCGCCCGCATCTACTCAGATAAAAACACAAACGTCCATATAGACAGAGCCCGATGGAATGGACTCAGGGAGTGTTTGGCTAACAGGAAACTCACAATGTGGGTGATTGCAATAACGCCATCATCTCTTTCCGCTACACATCCACTCACAGCCCAATAATATGCTGGCATTTTCAAATATATTTTCTTTGATTTTTGCAAACTCGTGTTGTTCATAAACTTTTTAATTGATTTTTCGACGTGGCTTCTAAGAGATTTTTGGCAAAAAATATAAGCAAGTGTGTTGTACGGCTTTCCAAAGGGACAGCTCAATTTGGGTTAAGAAATCACAATATTTGAATTGCCATGATTTCCATTTCAATTCAAATTCAAAACCAATATACCCTTTTTACTTGGTAAACAAGTATAAACGTTTTAGTTTGGTAAAGACTTACTCAATTCTCTGTTCAACTGGTTAGAGTGTGGCTTAAAGATTGCAATTTTAAAATATTTATGATTAATTTCATTCAAGATACTCAAAGTTGAAGTTATTTGCCTAACAATGCTGAAATCTAAGCATAAGTTTTCAATTCAAAGTGGCTAAACACATAAAGAATTCCCTTAAGTACAATTTTCATTTTGGTTTGGAGGAACTGTCAAGCTTTGCGCCCTTAGTGGAATAATAAATAAAGCTTAGCCTCTTTTATCTTGTCGCCTTATGGGGTTAAGCGTCCTACTAAGGCCAATGAGCAGCCGCAGCCGCAGCCATAGCCTGCCTGAGTCTGACTGTGGCTCAGCCGCATTTCAATGTGGCCGACCCCCAATTCGGGATATTTAAAGCGCTTTGTTTCTGGCCGCATTTAAGAACTCGTGTTTCCTTGAGGGCTGCTCTCGCTGTTGACAGCGAGAATCGTCGCCCGTTTTAGCCGCTTAAGCTTTCAATTTTGCCGCTGCTTCTGGCGCTGAGAGAAGTGTTGAATTATTAAAAGCCCAGCGTAGTGCCTGAGTAAGCGGGAAGGTAACGTTGGCCGAGGGAAAGAGAGTTGAAGCTTTCAAGAAGCAAGTTCTTTTTTTTAAGTATGTATTTATTTTGCGTCTGCCTCTTGTCTGAGCTCTTGGCGCGCTTTCATGAATAAACATGCAAACAAATTACTCTACTTGACAAACAAAAGCTCTGGCGCACACCTGTGAATGCTGCTTACACCTGTGAATGGTGTTTTTGTTACATTTTGGCAGCTCAGACAATGAAAACTGGGCTAAGATTTTAATGGCAAAGTCGCAGCCGCGTCAAATTTGACTCCAACGTGAGCTCTGAGTCTGAGCAGTTGAGCTGACAGCGACATATGAAATGAGAAAACTTGTGTTTTGCCATCGAATAATAGAAACTTAAATTGCTTTTGTTACAAACCTCTGAATACGACATCTTGGCCACAATATTTAAAGACTTTTCAAATATTTATAATATTTTAAATACTTATTTTACAATTTCAATTAGTTTTGAACGCATCTGTCAAATGAATTCGATTTAATTTTTCCTTTTTATATATTTTATTCTTGACCACGGCTGTAAAAGGCATTTGACTTGTTCTCAAATCAATTGACAAGATATTTGATTCACGCCTCTTCATCTACTTCATCTTTTGCTGGATGGCAGAAAACTGAGAATGTTTTCAAACATCCATAGATACATTCATTCAGATGTCTGTACTTGAATATTGTAATATAATCCCATTGAACATGGAATTCTACATGCGTCATTGCATTTCTAAGCACTACTAATGCCCAGCTTAGTAGCTCCACTCGTTTCCCCCACACCGAATTCAATCAAGTGTGCCCAGGCGTAGTCAAGGCGCTCCATTTGGCGTGCGTTGCACCCACATCGAATCAAATCCAAATATGGAAACAGAACCGAAAAAAGTCACTGAATGCGTAGCTGTCAAAAAAAAAGAGAGAGAAACGTACACATGTTATGAAATTTTTTTGCAGCTCAGCTGTAGAGCTGGGGAATAGCGGCCGCCTGGCCAGGGCATACGGACCCAACCAGCTGTCTAGGAGTCTAGACATCAATCAACACCTTGGCTATGTTGATTGACAGGCGAAACGACAGCATGGAAAATAAATCTGTCATTTGCATTTTGAGTTTCGTTTGAAATCAATATGAATATAGTACTTGAGAGCCATTTGCTGCTCTTGTTGTCGTCGTTGTTGTTGTTGTTGGTATTATTATTGCTCCCAAAGTCAATTTGTCGAAAACATGCCGCACCCCAAAAAACTCAGAATCAAAGGCTTTTTCATTTCAGTTTCAGGCGCGTTCGCGTCTTCCAATTAGAAAATCCGTTGGCTTTTCGGGTTTGTATTACAGCTTAAAAATGGATTTTTCTCAACCCACCGAACAACACATATAAAAGTTAAAAAAAAACATAAATATTTATGTGGTTTTGTATAAAACAAACCACATATTTAATTAATACAAAGTAAATGATTGGCAAATAAATGGCGTAAAATGAATTCGGTTCGCGAACGCAGCAGACGTGAAATTGTTATTTGAGTGTAATAAAAATATTTGTTTATGGCGCGGATTTCCCAAGCCCAACCCAGTCCAGCCCAGTCCAACTCTTTGGCAGCGATCCATTTGTCATACCAATCAGCTGCAGGCAGACAGTTTATTTAAATCATTCAATCATATTTGCATACATCTGCAAGACATACAATTTTACGCAGTGAACGCTGGCAGTCCTTTCGTGCTGATTCTTGAAAGCTCTGCTTTAACAGGGTATATTGGTTTGTAGAAAGACTCGAAGCTTTGCGTACATTAAGTTTATATTCGCATCAAATACACTTTTTATGGCTGGAACTGCTGAGGCCGTTGCACATATTTTATTTTTATGTTCGAAACGAGTATTGTGCAGTCAGTTAAGCTCATTCACAATCTTACTTGTTTATCATGTAGTTAAGCTTATTATAACTGTAACAAGTGTGGCTTATAGACAAGTTCGTCTCATTGTTTGACCGTCATCAGAATGCCCTGCACTACATAAATAATTTTTAAAATATATTCAACTGAATGAAATGCTCTCATTTATATAAGTTATACTTAATTTATTATTATATATTATTTATTATATATTATTTATCATTTTCAAGCTGACCTACTAATCTTCTATTAATTTTACTTTGCCCTTAAATTTCAAGTTGCTCGAATTCTTTTAAACAAATATTTTATTGCTTCACTTAAGATCAAAAGCATTTCAACCGGAATGGTAATTGCGAAATTCAATTGAAATGCGCATATCTTAATAACCATTAACTTCTCATTGAATCCAACTCGGCTGGGAATCTCGGGTAAGGGGGCAGGCTGTTATCGTTCTTGGTGAAAATTGCTGTTTATGTTTTACATGCTGCCTGTAATATCGCTGGGAAAATGGCGAAAATATCCTGCAGCTGATTTTTAATTACGAAAACACAAAAACAAGAGAGAAGAAAGGAAGTTGTTGCGACTTCGTGTATGTAAACTCAAATACAAATACAATCACGCACAAGCCTGTACACAGACACACAACACACACACACGCGCACTTACTCACACGCTCTACGACTCACTTGCTAGACCTCAATGAAGTCGTCTACGTTGTTCGTGTGTGCTTAAGAGTGTGTATGAGTGTGTGTGTGTGTGGGTGTGTGTGTTCGGCAGCAGATTTCAATTTTTGTGTGTTAATTACATTGCCGGCATAAGTTCAGGACCTCGCCCCATACTACCCTCTGGCACAACAACCGACTGCACTGTTAACATTGCATGGGCGTGGCACGGCATGGAGCAACGCCCACTTTTTT